ATTTATAAATAAGATTTCTATTTCTTATGTAACTTTAAAAAATTATTTTCCCATAGTCGTGCTGGTATAGAGGACTCTAAGAAGTGGGGAATGCTGTTTCTGGTGAATCAGTTATTCAAAATTTACTTTAAGGTATGCTTCCATTTGAATACTTTATGTCTTTGTAAGTTTTCTTTCTCCCTGTCTTTCCACATGTCATATTATTTCTGTTAATTATTAGCTAGCCTTTCTGGCATTGCTTGGGAAATGACCGTAACCATGTTCATAACCCTAGTAGCTAACATTTGATGAGTGCCTACTAAGTACAAGGCCTTGTTCAAAAATGCTTTACAAATATCTTATTTAAAACTCTGCTGGGTGTGGTGGCTCACATCTGTAACCCCAACATTTTGTGAGGCTGAGGTGGGAGGATTGCTTGAGATAAGGAGTTCTAGACCAGCCTGGGCAACACAGTGAGACCCCGTCTCTACAAAAAATTTAAAAAAATTAGCCAAGCATGGTAGCACACACCTGTCGTCCCAGCTACTAGGGAGGCTGAAGCAGGAGGATCACTTGAGCCCAGGAGTTTGAGGCTGCAGTGAGCTATGGTGATGCCACTGTACTCTAGGCCAGGCAACATAGTGAGACCCATTTGTACAAAAATTAAAATTAAAATAAATTAGCTGGTCGTGGTGGTGTGTGCCTGTGTGTGGCGCGTGCCTGTAGTCTCAGCTACTCAGGAGGCTGAGGCAGGAGGATCCTCTGAGCTCAGGAGTGTGAGGTTGCTGTGAGCTATGATGACACCACGGCACTCTAGCCCAAAGAACAGGGTCTCTATAAAAAACAAACAGAACACAAAACTCAACCTCTGAGGTGACTGTTACTAGCTCCAGGGGAAACTAAGGCACCTGTGCGCTAAGCACCTTGCCCGGTGTGGAGTTGGGCCTCCGGTGCGTGTAGTTTACTCTAGAGCCTGTGTCCTCCACCGACTGTGGATGGAGGGCCGGCTGCCCCGCGGCAGCGCCCCAGGGAGGGCTCCTCAGCGCTGTCCAGAGTGAGGTCGTCTGTGCTGGCAGCTTTTTGTTTTAGTTTTTATTATTGAATAAATAATTTTGATATAATAGATTTTGTAATTCCCATTTTGAGGAGACATATGCTTAGTAAAGTAGAAGTTTATGTTTGTTCTACCACCTGTCTTTGTTGTTTTTAAATATTTTAAATGGATTGTTACTCATTACAGATCAACAAACTGCATTTGTGCAAACCCCTGATCAGAGCAATCGACAGCTCCAACCTGAAGGACGACTACAGCACCGCGCAGAGAGTCACGTACAAGTACTATGTGGGACGCAAGGCCATGTTCGACAGCGACTTTAAGCAAGGTGTGTCCGTCTCTTCTCCGGTGTTTTAGATGAGATGTCGCGTTCTGAATAACTGAGTGTCACAGCGTCAGAGAGCACAAGCAGTGCATTTATTATTCAGGTGCAGTACGCGCGTAACAGAGTCCAAGGTGCCTGTGTGTGCTCGACACTAACGATGGCTAAATAAGGGAAAGTCCCGTTCGAAGGTTCCCACTTGGCCCCGGGTGGGTCCTGCAATACGTGTCAGAGTCCCGCAGTCCCACGGACGTCCCTGCTGCGTTGATTGAGCACGACGGTTCCCCGAGCCCTGTGGCCCTGTCGCATGTGCTGGTCATGGGGACATGGGAAACAGATGAGGACAGCACTGAGCTCAGCTCCTGACTTACTGCCTGAAAGTCCCGCGTGGGGATGACTCAGCAAGCAGTGGAGACGTGGGCTGCGGCCTGGCGTCGGATTTCATGTTTGTGGTTTTTAATGTAGAGTCGCTGCTACCGGAGCTGAATGTCGTGAAATCACGTTAATGTATCGGCTTGTCTTTGACTTTGTCAAGAACGTGAAGCCAGTCTGTTTTCCTTTCTGTACTTCCTGATGAGCGGGCGTGAGGTGGTTCTTTGTGATCTCTTCTATTGTGCTCAAACCAGACTTCTAAGCTCACTTCTTCAGCTCTTTGCTGCGCACACAGCCCCGGCTGCACAAAGCAGCACCTCCAGGCGACACAGGTGGGCGAGAGGCCTTTCTCCCCGAGCTGCTGCAGCCCTGGCGCCCCGCACCGCAGCGCCCGCGCGCGGGTGATGGCTGCTCTGGTGTTTCGCTCTGTTGGCTACAGACTGACTTTCCATCTCCTTTCACAAAAGTTTTAGTAGATCTAGGGCTTTAAAGAAGGGCTTTTCTTGGTTAATTCTCCCATCTGTTTTTTTCTCCTTAAAATATAAAGCATAAGGGTAGAAACCTCTAAATTATATTCTACCGAGTTCTGTTAAGGTAGTGATAAGGTTTTCCTCTGAGGATTCACTGAGTGATGGGTGTGGATCCCTGACACAGCCAGAAGAGGTCTATTAATATCGACACCACCTAGTCACAGCTTCTAAAACCTTCAGAGCTAAAAAGTACCTTCAAGACTGTATCATCTGACACTCATATTTCACTGTAAAAGAAATGGAAAATCATAAGAGATTGTGACTTTCTGAGGTCGCTAAGCTGATCAGGAATTTCTTTATGTGCCTAACAAGCCAGCACTGCGCTCGCTCCCGGTGGTTCGATTTCCACTTACTGCTGGGAATTCCTGGAGCCCGACTGTACTGAAGTGGATAGAATGTCTGCAGAGATTGTGTGCATTTTAGTTCTTTCGTGCGATTTTATGTTATGTAAGAAAGAATATTTGGAGTTATTTGCTACACACTTTCAACAATATACTAACTTGAGAGATTTATACCCTTCTAGATATTTTTTACTCCAACCAAAATACATTGTGTGATGCAAAATATGTCCCATCCCCTCAAAGACAGCGGAAAATCTCAGCCCTGTGGATTAGGAAATGCGTTTTTTTGTTTTGTTTTGTTTTGTTTTGTTTTGAGACAGAGTCTCACTCTTTTTGCCCGGGCTGGAGTGCCGTGGCGTCAGCCTAGCTCACAGCAACCTCAAACTCCTGGGCTCAAGTGATCCTCCTGCCTCAGCCTCCCGAGTAGCTGGGACTACAGGCATGCACCACCATGGCCGGCTAATTTTTTCTCTATATTTTTAGTTGTCCGATTAATTTCTTTCTATTTTTAGTAGAGACAGGGTCTCGCTCTTGCTCAGGCTGGTTTCGAACTCCTGAGCTCAAACAATCCGCCCGCCTCGGCCTCCCAGAGTGCTAGGATTACAGGCGTGAGCCACCGCGCCCAGCCTAGGAAACGCGTTTTTCGTACCTCCTTGGGGGTCTGAGCCCGGGGCCGTGGTAAAGGGGCACGTCTCAGCGTCTGGGCTGCAAGAGTCAAGCTCCGGCCGCTGGATATTGCCGACTTTCGGCCGAATCCTTGTTCCTCGATCCCGGGCCTGCAGGCTGCTGGCGGGCACAGCGCAGTGGCTGGAAGACACCGCGGCACTCACACTCGCTGCAAGATGAGACACCGGTTAGGAGCCGAGGCAGCGGTTCTCAGTGTGGGTTCCCTCAGACCCCAGGGCCTGCTGCTTCTGCTGACGTGGTCTGCACAGGAGACGGCCTCTGTAGTTCTGGGCATCTCGGGTCTCTTATATCTGGGACTTAACGTCACTATTCAGGAAGCATAAACACTAGTGTGCCTCTGTCTGAGGGAACATCTCACCTTCCTAATTCTTTCATTTTTATTTAGTTTTTGTAGAGATGGGGTCTCGCTATGTTGCCCAAGCTGGTCTTAAACTGCTGGGCTCAAGCAGTCCTCCCACCTCAGCCTCCCAGAGTGCTGGGGTTACAGGCGTGAGCCCCTGCGCCTGCCCTCACTTCCCTAATTCTTGAACCAGTCTCAGCGTCGGCACAACCTGTCCTTGTCTGGGGAGGAGGGAGGGCCACTGTCCAGGAATCCCTGCCGTTCTCTCACCTTTACCTTTCAAGCCTCCACAAACGCTCAGCGCACTCGACCTTGCTCTCGGAGTGGCCGATCGGCACGTTAGGCTCTCGGCAGCTCTGTGCCGCACAGTCGGTAGGATTTGTCTTCACAAATCGAATCGTTGTTGTATCTTGAAATCTGTTGACTTCAAGTCTGTTCTGTATGAGATGGAATCCTCTCAGTATCGCTGTCAGGACAGAATGGATATGTTACAGGTTAATGCGATCATTTTTTAAAGCTTACGTTCATTTCAAGTGCAGGTATATGATCATTGAATTATATGCTAAGCTGGAGGGTGGTGTTTCTCTAAGTGATTTTTATTCTGTTTAATTATGCATGATTAAAATGAGTAATGGCGGTACATCTTTAAATACGTTTTTATGTTTTCCGTGAACGTGGGTATCGTCTGAGCAGGTTAAACTCTCAGCATGCTGAGCCCAGTGGCCTGTTAGACCTCAGGCAAGTCAGACTCTCAGGGAAGTTAATTTCTTCGGTTTTCCCTCTGTTAAGTAGAATGTCCCAGGCAGTTCTTGTTGAATTTGGGGCTATGGGTTTTACCCAAGAAAAATCACTCATCCCAGAAATGAAGCTGGGCTGCTATTTTTGGAGCTAACAGAAGGAGGGACGAAACAGTAAGGATAAGACGGCAGAATGGGGCAGGAAGGGAACGTGGTGATTCGGACCCTGGGGCGAGGCTGTCGTGTCGCGGTGCTGCGGGTCCAGCGCTCAAGGGGGTCCCCACTCGTCTTGCAGCCGAGGAGTACCTGTCGTTTGCCTTCGAGCACTGCCACCGCATGAGTCAGAAGAACAAAAGGATGATTCTGATCTATTTGCTTCCAGTAAAGATGCTGCTGGTGAGTGACACTCAGTTTTGATAGATCCTGGTGCTCCGAAGAAGCCGACAGGCCTCCCGAGAACAGCAGGTGGTGTGTGGCCGGGCGCAGTCCGCACAGGGGCTCGCCCAACACAGAGCAGGGATGAGCATGTGCTTGGCCCGAACCACCGGGCTCTCCATGGCTGGCACTTCCAGACCCTTCTAGAAAAGCTTTGCCTGTGTTCTGTTTCTCTTAAAAGTATCTAACTCAAAAGTTTAACATTCATGTAACAAATAAAACAAGTGCATATTATTATATTTCTCCCTAAAACCTTAAATTAACTGCAGTGGGAAAAAATGTCATTCCAGCCTGTCTGTAGATATTTTATTTAGTTCACCAAATTTGTTTTTGATACTTGAAAAGAAATGTCAAATAACTAGTAAGGTAATTGACTGACATATCCTTAAAGTGACAGAACTTTCTTTTCTCCCATCTAAAAATTTAAAGAAATAAAGCAGGACACGCTTACAGTTGAAACGTAAGTGGTTCAGAATGGCTTGTGATTTGAAAAAGCAGCGACGTTGTAGCTAATGCTGCTTACCAGACAACCGGTTTTACGTTTTTTAGTCCATTCTTCTGGAAGATATTTCCGTGTTCCTAAATCTTACGACTATGCTAGTGTTTCTTCAGTTCTGCCTCCCCTTCTGTTACATGAACGGTAAGAGCCGTGACACAGCCAAGGCCAAGGTCACCTGTCGTTGAGTGGCAAACCGTTGTGCCAGGTGCCCGTCTTTCTAGACCAGTGTTGTTTGCCCAGAGTGCTAGTGTGTTGTTAGTCCTCGTCCAGCTACCTACGCAGAAATTCTAAGAAAGTCAGGTTGCAGTTCTTTAAAAACTTAATTCCTTGAAAAGAATTTTATCAAAGACAACTCTGTGAAAGACGAAAGTGTTTTTATTCTGGAAACCTATTTCAGGGTCACATGCCAACGATTGAGCTTTTGAAAAAGTACCATCTCATGCAGTTTGCTGAGGTGACCAAAGCCGTAAGGTAGAGTATTTTATTCTTCTCCACTTGAGATTTTTAAAAATATAAAACTAATAGAAACTACCCCCGAATGTTGTGTGAGGAGTCACTGCTTTTTGACGCGCTCTTTCTGGGATTTTGTTTTGTGGCTGTGGCGTCTTCCCTCACTCGCCAGCGAAGGGAACCTGCTCCTGCTGACCGAGGCGCTGGCCAAGCACGAGACGTTCTTTATTCGCTGCGGCATTTTCCTCATCCTTGAAAAACTGAAGATCATCACCTACAGGAATCTCTTCAAGAAAGTGTGAGCATTTACCCAGCGTGTGAAGCTCCCAGCGCGCCTGGTGGCAGCGCCGTCAGCCGGCGAACGGCCGCAGGCGGGGAGAGGGGCACCCTGGTGGGCGGGGCCCCCTCGTTTTCCTTTAATTGCGTGGAACACAATGAATCGTCCCCCGCTCACCTGAGCGCTGGGCGCGGAGGCAGGTGAGCAGTGGAGCTCTGCTTGCGCTTCTGGGGGAAGCAGCCCGGGTTCCGGGCGACGAGGAGCCTTGGCAGCAGGCACTGGGGAACGTCGGCCTCATCCGGCACCGGCCGTGGGAGCCGGACCGACCCTCGCCTGCTTTGTCAGAACCAGCCGACCCCACTCCCGCCTCTCAGAAGGTTAAATGTTTACGCGCTTGTTCCTTCCTCACCTGACCCCGGAAGTTCACTCTCTTCTGAGGCCTGGTCCCTCCAGGATCTCAGTTAATGAAACTTCAAAGAAAGCAGACCTTTCACACAGCTGTGGGTCGTCTGTCAAAAATAGGAAGGCCCATATTTCACTGAGCCCATTGTCAGTGCATCCGATTTCAGAGAGATTCAAATGTGAAAAAATACACATCTTAAATTTAATGAAATACTCAGTAAATGTAAAAAAAAAAGTATTTGTACTAGTTGCCTAGTGGCTTTTTTTAACTGAAAAGTCAAATTATATTTAATAGCTCTTATCGTTAGAGAGTATTTAGAGTGTATCTAATGGGTGGGAAAATTATTTTCGCCCTTTGCAACACCGGTTTATGAAAAGCTGTTTTCCCCTGCGGACTCAGGGCAGCCCGCTCGGCGTCTGAAGTGCTGCGCTCCCGCCAGTGACCGCAGGGGACTCTTCTCCCCCGCAGGTATCTGTTGCTCAGAACACATCAGCTGTCTCTGGACGCCTTCCTGGTCGCCCTGAGGCTGATGCAGGTGGAGGACGTGGACCTCGACGAGGTGCAGTGCATCCTGGCCAACTTGATCTACATGGTGCGCCACCGCCTCCTGCCTCAGGCAGCCGTTCGCGGCGGGATTCGGTCTCGATTTGAAGTTTCAATGTGGTGGTGGTAAAATTATCAAAAAGCATTTGCTTTTGCGAAGATATTTTCTGATAGAGCCGATTTTATCCCGGCAAATACCATTCAAAGGGCCTTCTGAGGGGTGGATATAATATATGTGTCCGTATTTTCCACCGTGCGTGCAGGCAGCCCCGTGTGTGGGTATGCGGCGTCCAAGGGGGACTGGGTGCAGGACCCTCCTGGACACCAGAATCCTCGGACGCCCCAGTCCCTGGTAGGAACGGTGCAGTGTCTGCACATCTGCACACCCCTGCGTGCTCTGAGTCGCCCCTAGAGGTCACTCACAACACCAAACGTGCTGTGAGCGCCGCTGTGTGAGCAGCTGTCACGCTGCGTTGTTCAGGGAGTAACAACTGAAACGAGGCCTGCTCAGAACAGCGCTTTTTTTCCTAAGTACTTTTTATCTGTGGTTGGCTGGCTCCACAGAAGGGGACCCACAGATGTGGGGCCAGCTGTGAGTAGTTTTAGTCTTTGTCTTCCCAGTGAGCCGAATCGCACCGTTGCTGGGGAGGGCGGCTCCTGCCAGGGGACGGAGTGACTGAGTTGCCTCGTCCTCGCCGTGGCTCGGGTTAGAAGCGCAGACTCACTCCTCCCTCTTTCCTGCAGGGCCACATTAAAGGCTACATATCGCACCAGCACCAGAAGCTGGTGGTCAGCAAGCAGAACCCCTTCCCACCGCTGTCCACGGTGTGCTGAGCGCGGCGGCTGTCCCCGTGGTCCTGTTGGTGCTGACACACTCAGCCCCGCGGTGCCTGGACGCTGGGAACCCTCGCGGTGCACTTCCTGGGCCCCGGGCCTGAGTGTGCCCGCACAGCCGGGCATCTCCAGCCTCCTTCGTCATCTGTGAGGGACGCCAGCCTCAGGAAGGCCTGGAACTCTTTCTTCGGAAAACGCAACGCTCTGCCGTTTGGAGAAGGTGGCTTTGTGTGAAGGCAGCTCCAGTTTACTTTTCCTAAGTGTTGTTCCCAAAGGCTGTCTTGTAACTTTTGCAGCTCTTTCCGTAAAAAAGGTATTCTGAATTTGGTCAAATGGCATGTTCTTCATTGTATCTCCCCGGATCCATCTATTTTTATAGATTAAATTTGAATATCTTATGTCATCAAAATGCTTGGTTAACTTAAAGCTTCTTTGTAAAAGCAGAATTTAATTTGATTTAAATGTTCCAGATTTTGTACCTTACCTGTATAGGTGCTCCTTCATTTACGGCGGGGTCACATCCAGTAGACCCACGGTAAGTTGAAAATGCATCTCTGCACTGACCCGCTGCATGCTGCAGCTTTGCCCAGCCCGTCTGAATCACGCTCAGAACGCGGTGTCGGCTCGGCGGGGCAGAGTCATCTAGCACGAGCCTGTCTGACACGAGGTGCTCAGTGTCCCGTGTGAGCTGCTGACTGCTGCGCCGACAGCGGGATCCGGTGGCTGCGTGGGGACTCGAAGCGCGGCCCCGACCGACCCGTGTGGCTTTGCTTCCTCACCATCGCAGTCGGCACAGCAGGCGGGGACGGCGGGTCAGCCTGAGCGAGGAGCTCCACGTCCCAGCGGCGGGCTGGTGGCTGGCTGCGGTCGGCTGCCAGTGCGGCGGGTTCTGGCGGGGGCCCTCCCGTGGGCTGCAGAGCCGCGTCTTCTCGTGTGCAGAGGGAGCTGGTCTCCTCCCTTCCTCTCCTCACAGGGCCTCCGCCTGCGACCCACTTGGCCCCACTGGCCTCCGCAGACCCTGCCCTCAGATACAGCCACCTCGGGGTTAGCACTTGCAGGGGTGGGGACCTGCGGCCTCAAGGCCACACGTGGCCTTCTGGACCCTCGAGTGCAGCCTTTTGACTGAATCCAAATATTTCTTGTTCTGTGGAGTTCCACACATCCCCGCTTTGTCCAGGCGCCTGCGGTGGCTGAGCGTGTAAAGCTGTGCGCTGTGCGTTGGGCTGGTGCGGGCCTCTGCCACTCGCACACGGGCCTGGCTCCTCCGCACCCCGTGTCAGCAGGTGGTTTGGGATTTGCTTCCGCAAGTTTTAGCCAGAGAGGGACGTGACCAGTTTCCAAGCCGTCCCCTCTACTGTGTGGGGTGGCACAAACGGGCGAGGAGGGAGTGGGCCAGGGAGGAGACCCAGCGCTGCCTGAGGGACGTGGGCCGTGAGCCCACCTCACACAAAACTTTCCAGCAGCCATCCTAAAGAAATAAAAAGAAACAGGAGAGATTCTTTTTAATAATATACTGATTTGATCTGATAGATCCAAAATATTACCCTTTCTACTTGCAATTGTTAAAAACCATCAGTGGGAGTTTGCATTCTTGTTTTGTGCTAAGCCTGAGACCCTCAGACGCACCTGTCCAAGTGCCACGGCCAGGTGGCTGTGCTGGGTGCGGGCCGGGCAGGGCTGGAGACCCGAGGCGTCCAGAAAGATCCGGTGTTGGTGTCCCTGGGGCTGCCGTCGGCCGAATGGGGAAGGAAGAGGGAGGCTCGGGCTGAGGCTGTGCTGCATGTGAAGGGCAGTGACTGTTCCAGAAGGACAGCAAGGTCACGGCTTCCAGCCTCCTCCAGTCCCATCACGCGAAGTGGAGAAAATCAGAAACACCTTCGGGGTCTGAAGTTCCCAGAAGGAGAAAGTGGAACCCCCGCGGCCGGGGCTGGGCCGGGGCGCTGGGCTCAGCCGCTCTCCCCTGCCCTGCTCTGCAGCGGCTCGCGCTCCGCCCTCCCGTTCCTGGGCCAAGGGTCCCGTCACCACCATCGCTCAGCTGGGTGCCCCCAGCAGGTCTGGAGACACGGCTGGCAGACTCCGTCGTCCCTGGGCTGGTGGGTGTTTGACTTGCTGCTTTTCCAGAGACGCGGCCGTGGGGAGGGGCTGGCGTGTGGCTGTGGGGTCCCTGCTCCCCGCAGCCCTGGTCTGTCTCCTAACTGGACTCCCCTGCCGGCCGGGGCCCCCGACAGCTCTGATGGAGGAGCAGGTGCAGCCTCCCGACAAGGTCTGCACACGGCCAGGGCCCTCCCAGCGTGGGCGCCTGAGTGGAGCGGCCGTCCCCCAGACGCCAAGGGAGCAGGTCAGGCGATGGCCCCGAAATGCTTCCATCCTGGGTTTTCTGTTTGACACACTGACCGCCGTGTGAGTTGTATTTAACTCAGGCTGGTTTTGAGCCCAGGGCCGCGTGAAACAAAAGCCTGCAGTTGGTTCGTGAAAATCTTACCTGTTGATATTCTTACTGTTACAATTAATGTTGACAATTTAATTCTAAAAACGGGGGTTGACCCCATTGGTAATTTATGTTACAATGAACAGTGATTTATCGCTTACAGTTCTGGAGCCCGGGAGGGCCAAGACCAAAGCCCCGGTCGGTTCAGGGTCTGGTGACAGCCGTCCTCGCCTGTGCTGGCTCCTCCGCCCGTCCTGGAAGGGCGCCAGTCCAGGCCCAGCCTCACCCGGCCTCGCTGGGTCAGGTTCCAGCACGTGAGTTCGGGGCGCGGATGCTCAGACCACAGCAGTGACTAGTGTTGCGCGTGGTGGTTTAGTTTCCTCATCCGTCATCTCAGAGATGACCACCTTCGTACCCCAGATCCTATGGCAACAGATCCTCCGAGCACTAGGGTTCTCCCCACACTCGCCCTCCCAGCTCTCGTCCGCCTCCCTGGAAAGACAAGCGACTGGGGTGAGGGACTTTCTTCACCGCCGTGCTAATCCTTCCGCGTGCCTGCAGGGCCTCCTCCCTCCAGGGCCTCCGGTGTTGGGGTGTCCTCTGCGGAGTTCCCCCAGCGACGTCTAGGACCCCACGCCCGTGTGCAGCCCAGCCGTTTACCCCCCAAGTCTGACGTGTTCCCCGTGCAGTCGCGTGTTCAGTCAACGCTGGGGCCTGGGTCTCCCGAGTCAGCATCTGTGAGACTGGGCTTCTCCTCACAGCAGTCGTGTCCCGCTGGCGCTTGGACCTGGTCAGGTTCCTCCTGAAAGGGTTTGTGTTTCTGTCATGCCCTGGGGGCAGTGCCGCCCTGAAGCCACTTCACTTCAGATGACTTCGTTGTGTTTTGGGCACTGCGTGGGTAGTATAGATTCATCACAAAGTTGGGCGGGTTTCTGGGGCCTGCGGTCCCAGTTCTCAGGGACGTCCCCGCCCCGCCCCCAGGGCTGAAGTGACACTGGCCGACGCAGGCATTTGTTCTTTCTTGGAGGTTCAGATAGTGGCGAACTCATCTTTTATCCCGAAATAGCGAGCCCACTCCCAGATGCCAGCACCAACCGCTCACGGGGCGGAGCCCTCCCGACCTGCTTGCCTCTCCGCACTGCTGCCCTGGGCACGAAGTTTCCAGCACGTGAACTTTGGGGACACGCTCAGACCACAGCACCACATGTCCTGACATCCACACTGAGGCCCGAGTGGCATGTGACCACCTGTAGCCCAATTTCCCTAAGATCCCTGGAGACAGGAAGGAGGACAGGTGACGTGGCCTGGCCTGGCCAGAGTCTCAGACTCACCTGGAGGGACCGGCGCACTCGAGAGCAGTCGTGCGTCTGCGGGTTCCTCAGAGCTTGGGGGACGCCAGCGCCTTTCTAGATCTTCCTTCTGGATCAGGGACCTTCTGGGGTGGGAGAGACATTAAAGAAGATGCCCCCCCAAGTCCAGCCTCGCCCGGCCGGAGCAGGACACGCGCCTTGCTGGCGCCACCACGTGGAGAGTCCGTGGTGGGTTCAGGCTCTCCCTCCTGAGCCCTGGTGCAGGGCTGTGGTCTGGGGTATTTAATTTCCTTGAGGTCATTGGCAATTTTTAAAAAGTGAAGTATATTTTTATTATGGTAAAATATACGTAATATTAAACTTACCACTCTGACCCTTTTCAGTGTACTTCTCAGTGATGCTGAGTAAATTCATGCTGCTTTTGGCATCTTTTTTTTTTTTTAAGACAGGGTCTCACTCTGTTGCCCAGGCTGGTCTCGAACTCCTGGGCTCAAGTGATCCTCCTGCCTCGGCCTCCCAGAGCACTGGGCCTGTAGGTATGAGCCACCGCGCCGGGCCGCCTGGTTCTTTTTAAGTCCATTTTCTGGTTCTGTGTGAGTTGCTCCTGCTCAAGCACACGTGTGGTTCGTGTTTGTTTTTCTCCTGTAACTGGGGCCTGTGTGCCCAGACTTTGCCCCTGAGTCGGCCGACGCCAGGGTCAGCACAGCCGCAAAGTCCATCCAGGGAGGGTGCCCGACACCGCTGACCTGCCAGCCTCGGCCGGCGGGGCCCCCACAAACGACAGGCCCGCCCTGCAGGGGTCAGCTGACCGCCCCCTCCAGCAGGGGCCGGGAGGGACTCTGCAGCCTCCGTGCCGAGGTCCGTCGTGGGTGGTGGGACCCGGCAGGTCGGAGCCCGCACTGGAGGGTGGGGCGGGAACGCAGGTGTGCAGGGCGCGCATGGCCCGTCAGCTTGCAAGACCCTCGGCCAGGTGGGCCTCCCTCCCGCCACGCCTGCCCGCACCGCATCTCGCCCACATGGGCTCTGCCACGCTGCCCCTGTGTGGGGACGGCCCACATCCTGCTCCCGCCTGTTCCCCAGGGTCCGCCGTGTCCTGGGGTCCCCCTGCCCGTCCTCAGGTCTGCACAGCCGTCTCCCCGCAGCGCGAGCACCACAGAGTGACCGGGGCGTTCCGGAGAACAGAGTGCGGCTCTGAGCCCTAGAGATGTGCTCGGCACGCAGCCCCCATTTCGGCCTGCCGGTCACACACCCACCCTGTGAGGGCGTCCCCACAGGAGTCCCCCACCACGGGCGTTGCTCCTCCCTCCCTCCCTCCCTCTCCCTGTCCATCTCTGCCTCTCCCCCCACACCCCCGCGGGCTCCCATCTGTACGTGGGCTCACTGCTGCCAGGGCTGTCTGATGGGGACCCGCAACGTCCCCCCTGTGGCCCCTGAGCCCCACCGAGGCAGGTGCAGAGGTGGTTCTGGCCCCTGCTGCCCTGGCCAGGCCGTCCGCCAGCTCAGCCCCATGCCAGGCGGGCGTGCCCTTCCCGGAGCCTGACACCAGGACACGACATGGGCCGCCCGCTTGTCCTGTTGTTGGTGACACACGCGCCTTCCCGGGAAGAGGGCGTGTCCCCGGCTTTGCCTGTGTAAAGGCACCCTAAGGAGTCGTTTTTGGGGTGATGCTCCGAGCCCCTGTGCGGCTCCACACTGAGGCCTGGGCCGGCGCTGGCCCCGACCTGCTGGGAGAGCTCCCGTCCTGCTGCCCTGCGAGAGCATCTTCTCCCGTCCCCTTCGTCACAGACGGTGCCACAGCCTCGGTCCTCAACCGCTCAACCTGTCCTCCTGGTGGGGCCGGGGTCCCGCCCTCCCGCTCCCCACGGCGACGCACCCCAGGGGCCCCGACGTCAGGGGGCCGGGGCTGGGAGGGGATGGGCATCGCGGTGGCATGGCAGCGCCGCCCGCGCCGGAGAGGGCGGCTGCCTCGATCCTCCCGCCTGGCCCTGCCACTCTGCCACTCTCCGCCCTCGGGGTCACCTTCCCACGCAGCCCCTCCCTGAGCCCCCCAGGGAGCTCGGCGGTGGCACACGGTGCCCTGCCCAGGCCCCCGTCTGGGCCACCAGGAGCCGGAGCAGGTCGAACGGCGGATGAGGACAGTGGCTCAGGGAGGACCCGAAATCCTCCAGCCTCAGGGAATCGCGGAGCCGCCCTCAGCCCCAGCGTCCCCCAGGCGCCCTCGCCCCCTGCAGGGCCTGGCCCTGGCGGCAACCTCCCCCGCTCTTCTCTCCTCAGGCCTCGGTTTCCTTCCCGTCACCAAGGCGTGCACGGCAGTGGGACGCGGGGGCAGAAGCCTCTGGGGCCAGGAGGGGGCCCGGGGACCGCGTCTGCCCAGAAAGTCCTGCCTGGCACGGTGCGGCGGCACCTCCAGATGGTGTTTCCAAAACCCTCCCGCTCACGGTCAGACCCTTCCTGGGAAATCAGATACTCGATCCCATCGGTTTTTCCGAGCTCCTGTTTACAAAAGCTCTCGCCTGTTCCTGACATTTTGGGGGAGTTTTGTACTAGAACTTCTAAACTTTGCTTAAGGAAGGTACGAAAAATGCGAAGGAACGTTGGAGCGCGGGAGGTCCTGTCTGAGATAACCTTTCCCGCTCACTCCAAGTCCATCTAGTTTTCAAGAGACTTAACTCGACACAGGGACAGCGCTGACTCGTGGCAGGGCGAGGACGTGGCCCTCGGGCGTTGAGGAGAGGAGGGAGGAGCCCCATGGCCCCTCCAGCCACCTGCACAGTGCAGTCCCCTGAGGAGCTCTGGAAGCTTCCGGCCAGCCCCCCAGAGCCCGATCTCAGAGCCTGGCCGTGCGCACAGGAGGTCTGTGGCCCGGAAGGTTCTAAGTCAGGGTTGACACCCACTGTGCTGGGAGTCGCTGTGGCCACCCCGTGCGGTCACCTGCCACAGGGATGAAGTCCCAGCACCCTTCCCAAGCAAGCCCCAATTTGGGGGTGAGCCTGGTGAGCACCCAGTTGTTTAGGTCAAGGAAAGACGTCCGCGTGACGAGGGCCGTTCCGGACCGCTGCCCACCTGGGAGGCCCCCGGGAGGGTTTCCCAGAGACACTCGAGAGAGACCCAGGCCCGGGGGGGCTCTGGGGCAGGCTGCGTCTGTGCAGCGATGGCCTGTCCTGCTCCTGTGTGTGGCCGGGAACCTGCGACACCTGCTCGCAGGTGCTGGGCACGGCCGCCAGGCACCGGAGAAGACGGGTGGGACAGGGGTGGCCTTTGCAGGGAAGGGTGTCCTGCCTGCAGCCACGCTGCCGTCCCACGGAGGACAAACTCCCTGGGGAAACTCCCCCCTGGCGAGGGAGAGGCAGGAGCTGGCGTCCGGTGGACACTCGCCTGCCCAGCACGGCAGAGCCGGGAACCCAGGGCAGGACGGGCACGAGAGCTCGGGAGCTGCCTGCTCGGGGCAGCGGCACGAACACAGAGCCGACGCCGCGCTGCCGCCTGCCGGGATCTTTAATGGGGGGGGTGTGCCGACCCGGGAGGCGGGGGGGTGGCCGTGGGCCGCGGCGGCCCCTGGGTTTTCATGGACCGGCTGATCCACTTGAGGAAGGTGGCGACCTTGGTGTAGACGCCGTACTTGCCCTTCCTGGCGCACCCTTCTCCCCAGCTGACGATGCCCGTCACAAAGTAGGTGTCCTTGAAGCGGGTGACGTGGGGGCCCCCGCTGTCCCCCTGGCAGGCGTCCTCGGGCCTGGCGTCGTAGCCGGCGCAGAACATGTTCTGGGTGATGGTGAAGCCGCTGGACAGCTTGCAGGTGTTGCGGTCCACGTAGGGCACCTCCAGCATCTTGAGGGTGGAGGACGGGCGGCCCTTCTCGTGGGTGCGCCCGAAGCCGCTCACGATGCCCGTCTTCTGCGTCATCAGCGTGGACTCGGCCCAGTCCTTCTCGGGCAGGCAGGCGGGGGCCACGTTCACGCGGAAGGCGATGGGCGTCTTCAGCCGCAGCACGGCGATGTCATAGTCGTAGGTCTCCCTCACGAACCTGTTGTGCTTCACGACCACCTCCACCTCGTGCGCTGTCTCGTCGCCCTCCTCCTTCTCCGTGTCCCGGTCCCCTGCGGCGGCGAGAGGGGCGGGCTCAGCTCAGGGGGGCTCTGCACGTGCACACTGGGAATTTTGCAAAGAAGTTATTTTTTTTCCTAATAAAAAATGGCATAGGGTCACTTTTGGAAATCTGAAAAACAGGAAAAGTGCAGAGAAGCAGATAAAGACATCCTTCCGGCTCCCTGCCCGGGGAGCCCTCGGTCGCTCTGTGCGCCCGGCTCTGCGGATCTCCCCGTCCACGCTTTCCACAGACGCCGCCTCAGCGTGGCGTGTGCGCCGGGACCGCCTAGCCTTCCGCGCAAACGGCCTCGCCTGCCAGGCCTGTGCTGTCCTCGGGGGCCGCCACCAGCCCGCGGCAGCCGAGCACCCGAAAGGCGTTGCTGCGAGGTGCAGCTACAGACCCAGAACAGAACAGGCACCAGAGTGTCCTTCTTAGAGTGATCACACGATGAAATGACGATATTCCGGATATGTTAGGCTAAATAAGATACATTATTGAAATTGGCCTCATCTGGTTATTTTTGTTTTGTTTTGTTTTTTAGAGACAGGGTCTCCTCTTGGGCCCAGGCTGGAGATCACAGCTCACTGCGGCCTCCAACTCCTGGGCTCAAGCGATCCTCCTGCCTCAGCCTCCCAGACACTGGGATTACAGGCGTGAGCCACTGAGCCCAGCCTTCACGCGATCGTCTATATTTTAAAACGTACGATAGAAACTTTAATGTTACAAAAAATTTCTAATTGCACGTGATTGGCATTTGGAACCTTGCCCTGGATTGCGCCTGGACAGCTCTAGGGGCTGGAGGAGAAAGGCAGATGTGAACACAAGGACCCGCAAGGGAAAACACGGGGGGCAGCGCACGCGGTGCTCAGGAGTGCTGGGGGGTCGCAGGGGGAGCACTCTGCGAAGTCCACCAAGAGCTGCCGCCCCTCCCCGGCCTGCTTGCTTCCTCCTCCTCTTCCTCTGCCAGTCAACCCCCCCGCCCCGCCCTGTGCTCTGCCCTCACACTGCTGTCCCCGGCCAGCTCCAGGGCTCTCTGAACGGCAGCCGGGCCCTGGGCGTGGGCGTCACTCACCCACCCTCACGGTGAACCTCTTGGCTTGGTGGAGGCAGTGGGCCGCGGTGAGCACGTAGAACTCGCTGAGGATGGTGCCTCCGCAGAACCCTTCGTTCTCCTCGTTGACCAGGAGGGCCTGCCACGGGAACACAGGGACGTCGGCCCTCCGTGGCGCTGCCGCGGTGGCCGGCCAGGACGCTGACGGGAGAGCCCGTTCCGGCAGCACCGGCCGGGCTGCCGCCTCCTGCACCACTGCGGGCCCTGCGTCCCGACACCCGCGCTGCCCGGCTCTCCAGGTCGCAGGCGAGGCCCAGCTGTGGAGGCCCCCCAGCCGCTCCCGGGGCTGGCACGTCCCACGCCCGCCCCACGCATCCCACCGCTGGTCCCACCCGGGCTCTGGCCGACCTCCTGGGGCCCCAGCACGACCTGCCCCCCCTGGGCCTCCACCCTCTCGTCTGCCTCTCGGAGCAGCCGGTGACAGGCTCGCCGGGCGACGCAGCAGACTTCACCGAGAGCCTCCTGCTCGCGAAGCCTCCGCCATCACGCAGGTTCTCCTGCTGTCTTCCTCCCCTGGCCACAAGCTCGCTTCGACAGGGGTCATTTTTATTTCTTCCCAATCTGCCACAGCACTCTCTAATTACGCACAGAACATGTTTTCAAGTGTTTTTGGGGAAAACGTTCACTGTGATAAAAACCTTTCTTGTCTGCACGGCTGACGCCAGCCTTTGGGGAAACAGCTGCCTGAACAGGCGTGACCCCTAGGACGGGGACGGGCCACAACTCCAGCCTCTCTCCGAGGGGTGTGGGATGCCACCTCCAAGGTAATGTCCCTGGAGCCCCTGTGGCCCCTCCTGCAAGTGATGTCCTCCCCGGCAGGGACATTCCAGGGGCCGAGCACCGACGGGCAGGAGAGACACGCCACACGCTTTCCCCGGGGCGTGGGGCTCGCACATTTGCAGCCCAGTGCTTGCTGGTTTTCCTCTCCAGGGGGTTTCCCGTCCTCTGAGCCAGCGGTCCCCAACCTTTTTGGCACCAGGGGCCGGTTTCGTGGAAGACAATTTTTCCACAGACCGGGGTCGGGGGCGCGGAGCTCTGTGGCCCGGTCCCTAATAGGCCGCAGACCGGTACCTCCTCGGCCAGGGGCAGGGGACCGCAGCTCCAAGTGCCAGGCACTGGCTGGCGTGTGCGTGGGTCAGTGAAATGACAGAGACCTAAAAGGACTCTTAGAGACGTTCGTGACTAGGACGTACTAAAGCTTTGCCTTTTTGCATTTACGATTGTTTGCATAAGTTACCAACGCACCATCCCACCAGAGTGACGCGCGAGGGAAGGTCAATCTTCCTGGGACTTGGACGTCTAGGACAGGGACGAGGCCACTTGACAAGACTCGAAGCAGGTAAAGCACAAATCACGACCCCTGGCAGACGTGACAGGGGACCCTCCCGGCTAAACCTCTCTTGGGGCTCCAGGTCCCCCGACACCTCAGCCCCTCGGCGGCTTGTCCTGGGAGCCCGCGGGCGCCCGGCCGGCACCACGTTCCTGCCCCTGAACACACAGCACGCGGGTCACCACGACTCGGGTCCCAGCTCTGTCCTAGGTTTAGACTCCACGCGTTGGAGCAGCAGCTTCGTGGCTCTGTGTCCTATGCACGCCACACGCTGCTCAGAGCCCGACACACGGCAGGCTCTCGGCACACGCGCACAGTGAGCCCGGATCAGCGTGGCTCCGCTGCTTCCTGCCCGGCTCTTTATCCTCCAGACAAGCGCGCGCAGGTGGGGCTGCTGAGGCAGCTCCCGCAGGGTGTCGGGGCTCTGGAGTTTCGCGGGGGGGCGGGGAGGACGCGGTGGCTCTGGAAACAACTCCAGCCCACGTGAGGACCGCCGGATAAAACACAGGACGCCCGTTAAACTCGAATGGGATGGACAGCACGTAATTTTTCGCGTAAGTGTGTCTCTTGTGATACCTGGGACATTTTCCATGAAAATTATTCGGGTCTGCAAAATTCAAATTTAACTGAAAGTCCTGTGTGTGTCTTTGTTACGTCTGGCAATGTCCCTCTGAAAATAAACAGACGTGCTTTTCTAAGGTACTGCCTGCCTCTCAGGATCCACGTGTTTGGGGAAAAGAAATGACCACACTGGAAGCGGAACAGGGACAGCGACCCCTTCTGCCTCCAGTGAGAAGAGGCGCCGACCCTGCTCTCCACCCTATTTCCTCCTGGGGAGAGTGAGGTTTCGGGATGCCCGGGGAGGGGCTGTGCCTTTCCTTTCTCTTCTGTCCCTCGCGGAACAGGATGTTCCTGGGCTCTCAACACACAGTAAGACGGGCCTGGGCGCCGGGCAAGGCGGGGACTGCGGCCCCGGCCTCTTCCTCGTCTCAGGCTGCTTCTACGTCGGGGCCGCGCGGAGGAGGGAACAGGTGTGCTCCGTGGCGTGGCCCCCCAACCCCAAGCCCGGTCCCAGAGCAGGCCTGTGCCTCCTCACTGTCGATGCCGGGGGCCCAGGGCCGTCTCCCCACAGAATCCAGCCGGCCCGGAGGGGCCAGCGCCACTTACCTGCCAGGGACACTCCCCCTCCTTGCAGTCCCGGCCGCCCACGATGCGGACGAGGTTGCTGCCGTCCTCTTCTGGGTACGTCTGGTTGAGGTCAAGCAGGTCCAAGGGGTTCTCCGTGGGGTACAGGTCAACCGGCTCCCACGTGGTGGCTTCAGGCACGACCTGGGGCGCTGACCTCTTCCTGCGCCCCAGTGTAAGCTTCCCGCAGGGGAATGGCTCTGAAAGAGACGGGGCGGCCGGGGCTTCAGCACAGCCACGAGCCCCCCGCCCCACGCAGCCCACGGGGACCCGGGGAGGGGCGTCCTGGGCCACACTCCACGTCTGGACATGGTCGTCTGTGTGTCAGCTGCACCTCAAGCGACGAACCGTGAACGGCGGACCCAGTCGGCACGCTGGCGTGTGGAGGGCGCACACAGAGTCTGCAGCTTGCTTGCAAAGGCACCGAGAGTCCCGACGGCTTGGCGGGGGCGAGCGCGTGCGGGAAGACGCCGCAGTGCGATCCGGGTCGGGGTGTGTGGGGCTCCTGTGAAATTCCTTTGATTTTGCTGCATGTGTGAGAAGTTTCTCTAATAAAATGTTGAAGAAAAAAGTTTCCAGGCAGAAGGAGCAGCATCGAGCAAACAACCTGAGGCACCAGGAGCCATGTGGCGTAGGCCCGTGCGGTCCAAGGGGACGGCTCTCCTTGAAAGTGCCGAGCACGGGGCGTGTGAGAAGTTTCCTTTCTGTGTCGCGACAGCTCGGGAAGGCGGAGGTGGGAGAGGAGAAAGGAAGACAGGGCTCGGTGGCCTCTCCGTGGCCGAGTGCTGAGACCAGATGGGCGCAACTCGGTTTTCTGTCCGCCGTGCTGGCGCAGGTCTGCGCCGCCCCGCCTTGGAGGAGACTCAGTGAACTGTCAGCTGGAGACCAGGGCCCTCTGTGTGCTAGCTCTGTGCTGATTCCTGTCATCGCCGGCTTTGGGACTGTGGACGAGCTCACCCACGGTTCAGAACAGAGCTTTTCGCACCAGGAAGTAGTTTACCTGATTTAATTTTCAGACATCACACTTGACTTTAAATTGATTTCTGATTATTCCTGGAATTAAAAACCATTGGCATGCATGCTGAGAAATGACTTCAGGTAGAACATTTTTAAACCAGCTCAGGCACAGACGCCAGTGCTGACGTGGGGTGGGAGCCACGTCACCTCTCCTTGCTGAGATCTCATGTGATGGAATTGAAGCAATACTTCAAGGGTGTATTTGCAATTTTTTTCTTGATCATTTGTTATATCTTTTGAGATAGGCTGTCTTCAACCAGAAGAACGTGAGGGGAGCAGTGACAAACGACTCAGGAGTGACGAGTCCCTGGGTGGGACAGTCCTTGCCGCTGCCTGGCAGGAAGCCACTCTGGATGTGAAGCCTGCCGGTCCCCCGGGGCTCTGAGAGGGGAGTAAGGGACGCTCAGGGACTGGCCCCAGAAACCGGCCTGTGTGTGCCCCAGGCCTGAGGCGCCCGTGTTAGGCCTGATTTAGGCGCTTTTCACGGCATCTGTAGCAGGGAGGCCGTCTCCCCGGCCCGGCCCGGCCCGTGGTCACTGCCCTCTGGGAGTCTCGTCCAGACTCATCAAGTGAAAGAAAGAATAAACCCAGTTAACACTGGGGCGGAGGAGGAGGTCCGTCCTGGGGTGCTCCGGCTCCCTCCACACCTTGCCCAGGGCCCGGGCCCCACCCCCCTGGTGGCTGTGGGATGCCTGGGCTGCCCACGCGTGGGTGGCCGCCCACCCACCATTGCGCAGCGTCAGGGTCTGCCCTGGCCAGGCACTGTGCAGGGTCCTCGCAGGGTCCTGTTCGCCCAAGGAGTTAGGTAACAGCGTTGGTCCACTTTTCAGGTGGGGAAACTGAGGTTAAGTGGCACATCTGACTAGGAGAAATAATGCGTCTGTTTCCAGACCTGTGTCCAGAGTGCCAGGGCCGTTCTTCTCCTGGTGCCACCACCGGCAAGGCCCGCCCAGAGTGTGCTGACGTCCCCGCCCGCGGCGCTGGCCTGCGCGCCCTTGGTCTGGCCTCTGTGGCCCAGGGGCGCCCCGTGAGGGGTCTGATGAGCCTCCTACCTGTGGAGATGCAGGACTTGCCATCGTCGCCCAGGGTGTACCCACTGGCACAGGAGCACACCACCGAGTTCTGCTCCTCGCGGCAGAACTGGTCACAGTCCCCGTTGTCCAGGCTGCAGAGCTTCCGTGTGACTGTAAGAGACGCAGGTTGGCCTTCAGGACAGGCTGGGGGAACTGAGGCTGCAGCTGGCCAGAGGGCGCCAGCTCCGTCCACCCCCCGGCTCAGCCACACAGCAGCCACTGGGCTAGAGCGGAGGCCTAAGCATCATGGCAGATGCGCGTGAGGTGGCTGGAGGGGCGCAGAGAGAGCGCCAGCCCGCGGGGGCACTGGAGACTGGGGGGTGCGACTGGGACCTGCTCCACGCAGGCAGGCTGGAGGGACGGCCGTGGGTGCCAGCAAGTGGCCTGGAGTCAGGCCGGCCGGGGGTCCAAGGCTGGACCTGCCCATTGCACCTCCAGGCTGGCTGGGTGCGTCCCCATGGTCAGCAGTGCTGGCCACCCAACCTGCTTCCGGTGGATGCAGAATAATCCAGCTCCAAACTCACATTAATAATGCGTGGCCGTGGCAACTCACCCACACCTCTGCACTTGGGTTTTGATGGAAAAGAATCACAGTGCAAAGATCAACATTGCTGGGATTCTGGGAACCTTTCGTAATAGCCCCAGGAGTCTGCTCAGTTTTACGTCTGATGAGTTAGCCAAACCGTGTGCAGGACAGGCAGCTCTGGACTTTGATGGAATACACGTAATTGATATTCCTATCAGGAAAAGTTCAAAAGCAATCCAATCTAAGAACTCGGCCTAAAGATTATAAATTAAGAAATTTAAAAGAAATGCACATCTTTCTCCTTAGGCAAAACTGATGTAATAGTAGCCTGATTTTTTTATTAAAAATTAGTATTGGTGATATTAGAGAAAATTCTTGGTGAGTTTGTCATGTAGACTTAATTAAATGTATGACGTTTTATCATTGTACGATCTCTATTCCTCGCTGACAGCTGCAGGAACAAACGTAAACACCAGACCGTGAATTAGAATCACGGCGCAGGGTCTCAGGAACATGAACAGCAAAACCTTCTGCCCCAGGGAAAGAGTCAGTTCTCCTTTAAACATTAACGGGCCACACACTTCATGAATGTCCTGCTCCCTCTCGAGGGACAGAGGGTGACTGTGTGTCTCTGTCATCGTGCCCCCAAACCGAGGAGCGTGTGCGCCGCAGGGTAACAGAGTCAGAAATGGCTCAGACTTTCCTCAGGCGTTTTAGCTTCTCCCCCTGCCCACCGTCCGCCCTTAGGAAAGTGCGCGCGTGGGGAACCTACACAGTTCGCAGTTTTTGCCTTCGAAGCCCTCCTGGCAGGTGCAGGTGTACTCCCCCAGCCCGTCCGTGCACAGGCCCTGGTTCTGGCAGGGGTCCCTTTCACACTGGTCGCCGTCTGCAAGAGAGGGTTTGGAACCACAGTCTGCGCGCTGTTCCCAGCAGCGTGGGAACGGCTGTGCTGTGTTCCTGGGCACACACTTTTCAGTAACCTGAAACCGCTTCCTGTCTCCCTCCCTGTGAGCAGTTCCTCCCATCTGGCCTTCACTGTGTCCCCCATCTCGTGCCATGTGTGGGCGATGCCTTATCTATGTGGGTCACCAGCCAGGTTCTCTGCTTTCCCTGACAATGTGGTAACAGCCCGCAAGGGGCCCTGGGCCGGTGACCACAGGGCAGCAGCTGGAAGGACAGAGGACAGGCCAGAGCGTGACGCTGGCTTCTGGGCCGGGCCTTGACAGGAGAGGACAGTGGGGTTTGTCTTCCCAGTGATCCGGGGCAAAGCAAGAATGCAAAGGCTGCTGCCCTGCTCCCACGTGGGACTTCTCGTTTCCTGGCGGACCTGTGTATTCTGGTTTAGAGACAGGTGCCACGGTCATTTTGAGAGAGTTGGATACTGTTGCCAGGTAGTCATGACTGACACCATTTCAGACGCCATAAGCATTAAGTCACGGTGGTAGCTTCATGGGGTATCCAATCTTTCGGACTGTACTTTTTGCTTCTACCTAATACACTTGTGTTTTAAAAAAATTGCCACGGAATTTGGTATGCTCCAGTAAGAATGAACTGATTTACATCTGTATGTAAGTAAATAACAAAACTAGAATTAGTATAAAATTACAATAAAAACTATTTTACAATAACTGTTATGGAAACACCCTGAGGAAAAAAGTCTTAAATGAGTAAGATTAAAACAGGACCAGAAAGGAAATCCAGGAAGTATTTTCAAAATTCAAATATCCTAATGAACCCCCCTCACTTAAAATAGAAAGAAGTCTCACCTTTGTATTTATTCCAGAATTCATTCTAAGAGGAAAAAATTAAAAATACATTAGGGAAAACAGAGACATTTACACCAATAACAAGCACAACCCAGTAACCCAACCTGAACAGGGTATTTTCCCCAGCAGAGGTCACTTTTAGGAATGAATTGTTCCAGAACTATTCAATCTGAAGGGGAAAGCTATTCAGATCTTTTGCGTCTGTGAAGACATGGCTTTAATCATCTTAAATTCACCGTCTTTGTTGAATACTGAAAACCTATTTTCAAGTTAATCCCCTCGAAATGGATCACACCAAGAATGGTCTGCTCTGCCTGCTGCGCTCCAGCCGATCAATGAACGGTCTTCGGTTAATACACCCAGGCCACAAACCCCTGAAATGACTGCTCACTTGTCCCTAATCTTTGTTAGTTGGAAAAATGTTAGTTGCTGATTAGCTTAAAGCAGGCTATCAAAAACCTGTATCATATGAAAAAATATTCACAGTCTTACTTTTTTACTGTCTGTAGTTGGTTGAAGAGCACCCACCCCAACTCAGGTCCTCCTGGAACCTCAGAATGTAACTTTAACTGGAAATGGGGTCTTTGCAAATGTAACTAAGGTCAGGGTCCAGATAAGATCACACTGGACTGGCGTGGGCCCTAAATCAAGGAGAATGTCGGTGACAGAACCAGAAAGGTCCACACAGAGCCACAGGGAGAGAAGGCTGTGGGAACGTGGGGGCAGAGACTGGAGTGAGGCGTCTACGACGCCGGGAACGCCAAGGATGACTGGGGGCCGCCGGAGGCCAGGAGAGAGGCCTGGACAATCTCTCAGAACCTACAGAACCAACCCACACTGCCTGGAACCTTGACTTTGGACTTGTCTCCAAGGCTGTGAGAGACTGAACTGCGTAATTACAACAACACAGCCACCCGATCTGCGGCACTTTGTCAGGGCAGTACGACGAAACGAACACACCGCCTTTTAATCTTCTGTTTAAAAAATTAGCCCACAGCAAAATCAACTTTTTGGTGTACAGTTCTATAAATTTCAACACATTTATAGACTTGTGTAAGTACTACCACAATCCAGATACAGAACAGGTCCATTCCCCCAAAACACCCTCCCACGCTATCCGCCCAACCTGCCCACCGCTGGCAGACTCCACCCTCCGCGATCTGCTCCTCATCGCGACAGTAATGGCTGTCTGAGAATGTCGTGCGAATGAAACCACACACTGTGTAACCCGTGGAACTAGCCTCATTCATCAGCACAATGCCTTTGAAATCCACCCAGCTACTGTACCCACAGCTTATTCCGCGTTATTGCTGAGTATTCCAGCGCGTGGCTGCACCCAACCAAGGACGTTTCTCCTACTTCCAGCTTCTGGCGATTATGAATAGAGATGCCATAAACATTTACGTATAGGTTTTACTGTGAAAATGAGTTTTCATTTCTCTATGACAAATACCCAGGAATGGGGCTGCTGAGTCACATGGGAACTTTATATAAGAAACTGTCAAATTGTTTTTCAAAGTGACAGGGCCGTTTTGCATTCCCACAAGCAGCGCATCAAAGTTCTGCTTGCTCCATATCGTAACCGGTACTTGCTATCTGTCAGTGTCTTTATTCCATAAATGTGTAGTAGTTCTCATTGTGGTTTTGATTTGCATTTCTGGAATGCTGCAGTCCCCAAACCCTGGGCCGAGGACTGGTGCCAGTCTGTGGCCTGCTAGCATCCGGGCCGCACAGCAGGAGGTGAGCAGGGGGCAAGTGAAGCTTCATCTGTATTTACAGCCACTCCCCATGGCTGACGTCACCGCCTGAGCTCCAGCTCCTGTCAGATCAGCAGCAGCATTGGATTCTCGTAGGAGCGCAAGCCCTACTGTAAACTGGGCGTGGAGGGGTCTGGGTTGCGCCTCCTTATGAGAATTCAATGGCTGATGATCTGAGGTGGAGCTGGGGTGGTGATGCTAGCGCTGGGGAGCAGCTGCAAACACAGATTATCATCAGCAGAGAGGTGTGATTGCAGAGACTACGATAAATCAATTGCTTGCAGACTCATATCAAAACCCTATCAGTGAATGGCAAGTGACAACTAAGCTGCATCGGTGGCAGCTTTAAGTCCAAATCCAACACTTGTTTTAGTCTGTGCATGGCCCGCCCATTATTTTATTTACCACTTCCATCCACGCCTCTTTCCCACACTGCGCACTTGTCTCAGTCACAGTTTTGTAAGCCCACAAGCCAGCCCTAGCAAAAATGAGTAAAAAAAAATTGTCACTGGAAAGCTTCTTTGAAAAGGGGGAAAGCCCCAATGATGAGACAGCAGAAGACTCTTAAGACTGCCAACAAAATGAAAGCTGCGTTTAAAAGAAAATACCAAGAGTCCTACTTAAATTAGGGTTCATTGCGCCAGGTGATTCACATTCTCCAAGCTGCTTTGTATGATATGTGGCGACCGGCTATCCAACAAAGCCATGAAACCTTCAAAACGGCTTCACCATGTGGAGACCAAGCACCTGCATTAAAAGACAAGCCTTTGGAGTTTTTCAAAAGACGAAAACATGAACACAAGAACAGAAGCACTTACTGAAGGCTACCACTTCATCAAATGTGTCTGCCCTGAGAGCGCCATACTCAGTGGCCAACTGCATGGCTAGAGCTAAGAAGCCCTTTACTGTTGGTGAAGTTGATCCTGCCTGCTGCTGAGGACATTGGCCGTGAACTTTTAGGAGCGGCTGCAGTTCACAAGGTGGCACGTGTTCCTCTTTCGGCCAGCACCATAACTAGATGTATTAATGAAATAGCAGGGGATACTGAGGCACACTTGTTAGAGAGGATTAATGCGTCACCGTGGTTAATCCAGGTTGATGAGTCTACCAGTGTTGACAGCAAGGTAAAGATGCTTGTTTTTGTGTGATATATTTTTCAGGAGGACGTGCGTGAGGATATGTTTTGTGTACTTTTGTTATCAGCCAACACCACAGCTACAGAACTATCCAAGTCTCTGAATGATGCCATTTCAGGAAAACTGAATTGGTCATTTTGTGTCGGTTTATGGACAGAGCGGCTGCCATGACTGGACAGCTTTCTGGTCACTACTTGGGGCCAGGAGGTGGCTTCTGAATGCGAGTCTATGCACTGTGTCATCGTTAGAGAAATGCTGGCTAGCTGGCTAACCTGAACTCAACAGTGTTTTGCAGGATGTGATTAAAATTATCAGCCACATTAAAGTACATGCCCTTAACTCACGCGTGGTCACGTAGCTCTGTGAGGAGATGGGCACATCTTCTCCTACACACAGAAGTGAGAGGGTTTTCCAAAGGCAGATCACTGCTCAGAGTTTCTGAGTTGCAAGAGCCACTCCGGGGATTTGTTTTAGAAAAACAGTCACCACTGGCAGCTCATTTCAGTGACACAGGATGGGTAGCAAACTTGCTTTCTTGTGTGACATATTCAACCTGCTCAACAAACTCAATCTGTCACTTCAGGGGAGAATGACAGCTGTGTTCAAGTCGGCAAAGTGGCTGCATTCAAAGCCAACCTGGAATTACGAGGGTGATGAATGAACAAACATTGGGATTTTTGACATTTCAAACATTAGCAGAGATTTTGAAAGAGACTGAGCGAGGGCCTTCGCTCTCCCAGCTGGTGCATGATCACCTGTCTCAGCTTTCAAAAGAGTCTGAGCATTGCTTCCCAGCCACAGAAGACCACCGAACTGCGAGGGAACGGATCCGCAACCCATCTGTGAATAAGCCAGGTGAGTTGACTTGGTCTGCTCTAGAAGAGGATCAACTGCTTGAGATCACAAATGACAGTGGCCTCAAAGTATGTGTGAGACAATTTCAAATCTCCAGACTTTCCGGATTAAAGTCAAGGCGGAATATCCTGAGATTGCCACGAAAGCACTGAATAGCCTCCTTCCACTTCCAACATCCCATCTTTGTGGAGCAGGGTTTTCTGCAGTGACAGCCACCAAAACAAGACCACAGAGTAGACTGGACATAAGCAACACACTTCGGGTGTCACTGTCTCCCATCACCCCCAGATGGGACTGTCTAGTTGCAGGAAAGCAAGCTCAGGGCTTGCTGATTCTGCATTACGGTGAGCTGTATAATTATTTCATTATATATTACACTGTAATCACAATAGAAATAAAGTGCACAAGAAACGTAACGTGCTTGAATCATCCCGAAACCATCTCCCCACCCCCCGACTCCCTCCATCCCCGTTACTTGCAGAAATTGTCTTCCGTAACACTGGTTGCTGGTGCCAAGGTTGGGGACCACTGCTGTAACGGCTAACGATGTTGAGTGTCTTCTCATGTACTTATTTCCCACCCATCTGTCATCTTTGGTCGGTGCCCATTCAAGTCTTCTGTTCATTAAGTTTAATTGGGTTTTTATTTTCTTCTTTTGAGTTGTAAGTGTTGATATACTCTGAATACAAATCCTTCATTGGATCCATGATTTGCAAATATTTCTGTTAGTCTTACCTTGTATTTTCATTCTCTTAACAGTGTTTTTTTCTACAGAGCAAAAGTTTTTAATTTTGATAAAGTCAAATTTAACAATTTTTTCCCTTGTGAATCATTCTTTTGGTGTCATGTCTGAGAATTTTTTGAGACAGTGCCTCATTGTCTCCCTGGGTAAAGCATAGTGGCGCGATCCCAGCTCACAGCAACCTCAAACTCCTGGCCTCCAGTGATCCTCCTGCCCCAGCCTCCCAAAGTGTTGGGATGACGCGCGTGAGCCACTACACTCAGATCATCCAGGTTTTTTTTTTTTTTTTTTTTTTTTTTTTGAGACAGAGTCTCACTGTGTTGCCCTGGCTAGAGTGAGTGCCGTGGCGTCAGCCTAGCTCACAGCAACCTCAAACTCCTGGGCTCAAGCGATCCTTCTGCCTCAGCCTCCCAAGTAGCTGGGACTACAGGTATGCGCCACCATGCCCGGCTAATTTTTTCTATATATTTTTAGCTGTCCAATTAATTTCTTTCTAATTTTAGTAGAGACGGGGTCTCGCTCTTGCTCAGGCTGGTCTCGAACTCCTGAGCTCAAACAATCCGCCCGCCTCGGCCTCCCAGAGAGCTAGGATTACAGGTGTGAGCCACCGCGCCGGGCCCATCCAGGGGGTTTTAATGTCTAAAAATCCCAACTCATCCAAAAAACTTATGTGATGATCTTAGATGACAGATGACAAATTTCTTCCTCAGAGAGTCACTGGGGATCAAGCCCGAGTATCCCCAATAACACCGCGTTTCCCCGGCTCTGGGGAAAGTGAGGACGCGGCGCCAGGCGCTGGCCGGGAGACAGCCCGTGACTCACGGGGAATGACGCTCCGCTCGCCCGTCCTGGTTTTCCCCAGGTTGTCCTCAACTTCAGTTACGTCGCCCCGAAGTGTTTATTTGCTATGAATAAATTCTTCCGACTTATAACGGCTTGACGTGGCCACGACCTGCAACTTGACCCTAGTCCTCAAAGGTCACCGAGGGCAGCTTCCCCAGAGCTCTTCCGGCGGGACCTCCAAGGTGATGTCCGCAGGCGGTCCCAGAGCCCGCAAGACGTCCACGTGGCAGCTGCGCCCGCGGTCTTCCTCGTGACCTCGAGGTTGCGCCGGGCCGCAGCCGCCACCCACCGTCTCCTCAGTGCTAGGCCCGGCCCCCCACGCCTGGAGAGACAGCCCAGCCACGTCCGGGCGGGAAGCCCCGCCTCTTCCGGGAACACCCCCCCCCCCCCGCTTTCCTGCTGCGCAGGCGCAGTGCTGGATTCGCCGCCCGCTCCATTGCGCCCCCTCGCGTTGCGGCGGGGCCGAGGCGTCCAGGGCGCACCTGTGCGGCCCAGGCGGGGACCCAGCCGGCCGCTCCCTGGGAGGCGCCAGCCCCTGCGGTGGATAGTTTTGTTTTTTGGCATAGCGTTTTATTTTACACTTTAAGTACACTTGACACGTGAAGTTCTCATGACTGGGGGGTGGGGGGTGGGGAGGCGGCGGTGCGCATGCGCAGGCAGGGGGGTACCGGCTGCCGGGGCAGGGACAGGGAGACGGTTTTTGCGACGGTTGCAGGTGTTAAAGTCACCCCCGCCCGGGCAGAGGAACTAGGGGGCTTACGCCGCAGCAAGCACCGGCGTGGATGGGCTGTCAGCCCTCTCTGCACCTTACCTGAACGTGCGCTCGTGACAGTGTCTTTTACATTGTGGTTTACGGTTTCCCCACCCTTACCGTCGGCGTGACCATCCCCAGACAACCAAGTAACACGTGAGAATGAGGGAACCCCCGTCCAGGAAGTACCCACATTCTTAGTAAAAGCCAACCCTTGGTCCTGAGCATTCCTCCCCTCGATCCGTGAAACTACGAAAGACACGAACGCACTTCCTCTCAGCGCAGCTGCTCTTTGGAGCCTGCCCGCCGCCTCCCGAGAGCGCACTTTTGCTGTCAGTAAACGGTGTTGCTCGCCTGCCTTACACGGAGCATTCTGGAATTCCTTCCCCATGGTCACCAAGCACTTGGAAAAAGCCTCCACTCGGAGGCCAGTAACAAGGCCATTATGCCTCCTCCAGCCCTTCCGCCCACTCCCCTTGCCGGACGCCCCCCCCCCGCGGCCTGTCCCCTCCTTGCGGACACCCGGGGGTGGAGGGCTGGGTGCCCGGGGCTGGCGGGGGACAGCCAGGGCCCTTGAGCACGCTCCGTCCTGGTGTGGGCCTGGCACCGTCTCCCAGCCCTTACCGTCTTCTCGTTGTCTTCAAAGACCTCTCGGGCTTCTTCGTATGAGCACGTCTCTTCCATACACTCTCTTTCAAGGTTCCCTTTCTTCATCTCTTCTAAAAACGAGTTTGCCCTCTTGACCCTCACCAGGACGCTGCTGGCACGTTCCCGGTCAATAAACACTGGAAGACAGGGACGGGCGCAACGTTGAAAGCACCGCGGGCTGTTACCTGCTCTCCCCGGAACTGCAGTACCCTGCTGGGCCACACTGCAGGAGGGAGCCCTGGGGGGGTGCCCGCCTCCCTCCCGACTCCTCCGCCAGGTGCTGCTGCACCTGGCACCTGCTCTGGAGGACGGACAGGTCACAGCGCCACGCACACACCAGCTCCAGCTGGCGCCCCGGCCCTCTGCCCTGAGCGCTTCTGAGCACTCTGCTGGCCCCGAGATGCGCCCTCCACCCTGGCCCCACCCGCCCTTCGAGGCCTCCGCTCTTGGTTCAGCGGGGAGTTGTGGGACTGTTTTAATCAGGAGCCATGAAAAGTGCAATTTATATCAAGTCCTGGGACACACACACACACACACACACACACACACAATCAAAGCAAGTTTCAAGAAATGGTACTTACTATTATTTTGTAAAAAATAGATCTAACCATAAAATTTTCTGTATGATTCTACTCTATTTCATTAAAAAACCACACTCACAAGTGAGTCATAATCTCCTGTTTAAAATGCCCTGGATGGGGAATCTCCGTGTCCCTCCTAAGGTGTGTGTCTGTGGCATGCTGTCCCCACCCCCCGGCCTCTGTCCCTCACTCGCCCACTCCTCTTCCTCTTCTCACTGTGACATGGGAGGCCCTTGAGTTCTTTCTTGGCCCTCTGTCCTGTCCACACTTTTTTCCACTGGCCTGGGACAGGGGCGTGGCCTGGTGGGGAGGGCGTGGCCTCATGGGGCGTGGTGGGGCAGACCCAGGCCTGGATGGCAGGAGCTGCTGGACGGAGGGGACAATCCCACTGCGCGGCCCCGCTGTGTGGCTGGGGTGGGACGGCGGCTGGAAGGGGCAGGGGCTAAGGGTGGGCCTGAGAAGATGGTTCATGTGGGTTTGGCTGGAGCTAGAGCTTCCTGTGGGGCTCACGAGGGAGGGGACCCCAGGGGGCAGAGGGTGTCGCCCAGCAGAGGGGCCCTCAGGTCAGTGTGGGTTCTGAGGGTGGAGTCAGCCTCCCTCGGGTCGCCCCCTCCCCTGCCCAGGTCAGCTTCCCCTTCCTATGAGGATCTCTCCCCCTCCCCCACCCCGAGGTCTCTCCTCTTCCCTCCCCTACTTGGGTCTCCCCCTCCTCTGCCCAGGAGGGTCTCTCCAGCTGTCCCTCACTGCTCTCTCTTCTCACACACTGGGGTCCCCTGTGCTCCACTTTCTGCAGGATGCAAACCAGCCCCGGGTCCGTGAATCCCGTGCACCTGCCACCGGTGCCGCCCCTCCTCTGCTGTCCCCCCAGCCTTGCCTGGCTTCTCCCCTCTCTGGGCCTCTTCTTTGGGACAGGCCCAGGGCCCTGGGTGGCCTGGTGCCCCATCTGTCCAGCCTCGCCTTGGGCAGCCCCTCCCAGGTGGGGCCAGCTGAGAAGGGGCCCCTCCCAGCCCCTCCCTGGCTGGGTGCGCCTGTGCTGTGCCCAGCTCTGGCAGTAGAGGGGGGACCTCTCCCTACTACCTGGCACCCCTGCACCCTTCCTCTGTCTCCCTCTCTGTCTCTCCTTATCTCTCTCCTTAATCTGTCTCCCTCTCTCTGTCCCTCCTTATCTCTGTCTCCCTCTCTCTGTCTCTCCTTATCTCTGTCTCCCTCTGTCTCTCCTTAATCTGTCTCCCTCTCTCAGTCCCTCCTTATCTCTGTCTCCCTCTCTCTGTCACTCTCGGTTCTCACTCCCTCTCCTCCCTCTCTGTCCCTGTCCCTTTTTGTCTCTTTGTGACCTCTGATCTACTCATCCGATGACTGTCGCCCACACAAAGCCACAGCTGGCCTTCCTACCCTTGGCTGGGAAGTCCGAGCCCAGCCACCTGAGGCCAGACTTGCCAGGCCGGGGCACCCCCCATGCATCCCCTCCCTCTGCCTGCCTGTCCCTGCTCCCTGGGCCACCCTCACTTACCGCTGTCCCCAGGCTGCAGGAGGCCAGCCAGGCAGGCGCTGAGCAGGACGAGGCAGAGTGGGCTCGCCATGGCGTGGCCGAGTGCAGCGTCCCTGTCCCACCGTGACAGGCTGCCGGGGCAAAGTCCACTCCCCTGGGTTCAGGGTGGCTTGTTGTCCTGCCGCTTACCCGCCTCCGGACTGGGGCCGGGCAGGCGGGGCAGTGACCACACTGGGGAGTATGGTCACCTGGCCCCACCTTCCCCAGGCAGGGCTGGGTGACGGCGGGGATGGGAACTTTTGTCCTAAGAGAGAACAAAAACACCATTTTATGCTCATTTTGTAGTTTTCAGACGTTTACATCTAACTCAGTCCTTAAATGTGACAAAGGTGTCGTTTCGCATTGTGTTTCCAGGACAGAGAACAGGCTCGGTGAGCGGTGCAGCCTGACCCAGTGCCGTGGTGGGGGGTGCGGGGCTTGTGCCCCGCTCTTCCTGGGGACGAACCTGTCCTTCCACTCCCGCTGCTCTCCGGGTGACGTTGGGCGGTGCCCGGACGCGTGGTCTCGTGTCACGGGGGGACTCCAGCACGCAGGGCTTGCACCTGCCCTGCCCACTGCAGACCCAGGGGCTCTGGGAGGCAGAGGTTCTGGTGACCTTTCTGTGCCCACCTGGCCCCTGCACAGACTTCTGGGAGGAGCAACCACCCTGCTGCCTGGAGGGAGGGGCTCTGCCAGAAGCCCCCTCCTGGCTTGCTGAGCACAGGGCGGACGGCCGGAGGCTGATAGGGGCTCTGCCGTGAGGGGCTGGTGGGCCATGTCTCCCAGCCCCCGTGCTCACCCCGGACCCGGATGCAGGGTGGGGCACGTGCCCTGGGCGTGCACCGGCTCCGTGCAGGCAGGCTGGCTAGTGGGGACGAGCGGGGCCTGGAATGTCCAAGGCTTAACCCAGGAAAGGTGATTTCTCAGCTCCTCCAAGTCCAGGGGTGCGAGGGGGGTGGGCAGGAGGGAGGGGGAGGAGGGAGGGAGAGGAGGCAGGGACAGGAAGCAAACAGACGGGTGTGCTCCATAAACTTTATTTACAAACAGTGTGGCCTGCATTCAGCCAACCCTCAGCCTTGGTTTGCAGCCCTGCTCTGCTTTAAGTAAACTACTTGGTTGTCCCCAGGGCCAGTTACTGGCGCCCCGCCTCGCAGCTGTCTCTCCCTGTGTCCCCCCACCCCACGGCCCCACCTCGGGCGCACTAGGGGAACGGGGCGCGCAGCAGGAAGCCCGGGCTGGGCTCGGAGCGCATGAGCCGGCGCAGCCAGTCGGCGTAGCGCGACACCCGGGTGTACACCCCGAAGTGGCCGGCGGCCGCGCAGCCCTCGCCCCAGCTGACCACGCCCGTCAGGTACCAGGTGCCGCGGTAGCGCGTGGCGTGCGGGCCCCCGCTGTCGCCCTTGCAGGCGTCCTTGCTGCCGTCCGCGTAGCCGGCGCAGAACATGTTCTCGGTGACGCGCCGGGAGCCGGGCCGGCGCCGCGACTGCCGCTCGCAGTCCTGCGTCATGAGCCGCGGCACGTCCACGGCCATGAGCTCGCGCGCCGTGGCGCCGCGCTCCAGCAGCCGGCCCCAGCCGCTCACGGTGGAGAAGCGCACGGCGGCCAGCGCGCGCGCTGCGAACGCGGGCTCGGGCAGGCACAGCGGCGCCACGTGCGCGCCCAGGCGGGCGGGCGCGCGCAGGCGCAGCAGGGCCACGTCGTGGTCCGGGGAGCCGGCAACGTAGGTGGCCGGCAGGACGATCTGCGCCACGCGCCGGGGCTGCTCGTCGCCGTCGTCCTGGCTGAGGTCGTGCTCGCCTGCGTGGGGGGGAACGGGCCGAATCCGGAACTGGGTGCTGGGGCCCGAGAGGAAGGGGTGGCAGCCTGGGCGCGAGGGGAGAGGGCGCCCCCAGTTCTCCTCAGTTGCTCCCAGCCCGGGCCTGAGCCTCCTGCGGTCCTGGTCTTGCCCCCCGGGGGGTCCTCCTCCGGCGAGGCAGGGCAGGCGCTGCACCCCCAGGTCTTCTGACCTTCGTCAGGGAGCGGGAAGAGGCCGAGAGGAGCGGCCGCGGCGAGTCTGCCCACTCCCCTTTCGGGAGGCGCCCACGGGGCGTGGGCCTTGGCCGTGGCCCCGCCATGCCCTCAGCCCTGGGACATTCCCGCTCGGCCCCCCTCAGGTCAGGAGACAGGACGGCACCTACCCAACACCACCGTCAAGTTCCTCCCGCTCTTGACTCTGTCAAAGCAGTGGGCCGCAGACACCACCCAGCTGGGGTCCACCAGGGTGCCCCCGCACAGCAGAGCTCCGTTCAGCGTCAGCAGGGCCTGGGCAAGGGCACAAGTGCTCTGAGGGGCCCCGCCCCCGAGGGACCACTGGCGGTGCGCGACCGCCTCTGGAATCCAGGCCCCTCCTGGGCAAAGCCGTGCACCCTGGCTCCGGGAGGCCACTCCCCACCCCTGGTGGAGCTGTTCTCCTGGCACTGTCCTGACAGTGGGCATGTGGGTGTTGGATTCCACCGTGCACCCCCGGGTCGGCACGTAACTTTGACCCAGTGCACCTGATTTTGCAAAGATCAGCACAGATCCTGCCCCAAAGAGCTACCCTGAGGATGGCATGAACTAACTCTATTGAACACCAGCATGGTTCTTTGCACAGAGTAGATGCTCAATAAACATCATTGTCTTTTCGACTTGCTTTCCCCCGCTAGGGGCAAGGAGGGTGCGGAGCTGGGAGCGAGGGGTGGGCTGATGGCGGCGACCGGGGCCGGCCTGCGGCTTCCACTCTGAGCTCTGCCGATTAGTTCTCCTGCGCAAGGCTCCACGCTGCTCAGAGAGGGGAAACCAGGGCTGGAAAACCCTCGGGCCGGGGAAGCCTTACCTGCCATGGACACTCCCCTTTGGGGCACACCTTGCCACCCACAATTCGGCCTTTGGGCATGCTGGTGTTTCTTTTTTCCAGAATAGGTATTTTTCCACACGGATATTCAACTGCACAAAACAAAAGTCAGCAAGACAGAAGGTTTGCGAGGGACGAAGGTGCCAGTGGGTGGAGGCTCAGAAGCACCAGTACCCTAAGAGCCAGGGGCCGGGGGCCGGGGCTGTGGTCGGCAGGGCGGGCTGGGGGCTCAGGAGGCCGTGTGGAAGCTGCAGTGAAGGAGACAGTGTGCAGGGGCTGGCTGGGTGGGGGGCAGGTGTGGCTGCATCTTGGTACTGAGCTCTGCTCACTTTTCCAGGGGGAGAAGACGTTTCGCTTGCGTTTACTGAAAGGTGAGTGATACTCTGTCTACGGAGGAACCCACAGTGAAAACGAGTGTGTTGTTTGATCCCACGCTGACTTTGGTCTTTAAAGCCCCTGGGCCAGAAAAGAACCCCTGCAGAGGTGGCAGGCTGGACTTCAGGCTTTTTGGGCGAGGCGGGGCCCCTCTACCCCTGAAGGGACACAGTGGGTTTGGGGTGTCCCAGCCTTTGGAATTGCAGCCCCATTAGTTTGAGGCTGGTTTGGAGAAAAATTCCATTTTCCTGAGAGGCCATGCCTTTAAAAACTTCTGGAATCTAGAATTGTGCAGCAGCTGGTACAGACTCTGGGTGCGTCAAAGTAAATTCACGAGCGCCGGCAGCTGCCCCACACGTGGGACGAAGGGAGACAGCCTTGACTGGCTCCCCTGGCCTGACTGGGACAGGCAGGGGGCCCGTCCTGGTCGCTGCGGCTCTGGGCTGCTCCCGTGTGGGGGCTGCCTCTCCGCCCTCAGCCCCCACGTGGCAGTAGCAGGTGTTCAGTGGATGCCAAGCACCCCCCACCTTGCAGCCAGGAAGATAATCTGCAGTGGGACAAGGCATCTGGCACGTGACACAGCAAACAGCCCCTTGAGCCCCGTCACCTGTGGGCGCACAGGACACGCCATCCGCTTGTAGTGAGTACCCCTCGTGGCACCAGCAGGAGCGCTTGGCCTCCGCGTGGTCGCTGCAGTACTGCTCACAGCCACCGTTCTCGTTTGCGCAGATCAGCTTGTCGTTCTTGTCTGGGGACAGGAAGGGAATGGCCTGAGAGGGGCCGTCCTGGTGGTGGGGGTGGCGCTCTGCTTGGAGGGTGGCGCTCAGCTGGGGGCTGCGGGGACTGGGTACCACCTGCTCTGCATATTGGCCCTGACGACGGGGCCGGAGCTGGGGGAGCAGCCGGGCCCGTGGGGGACAGGGCCACCGAGACGGCATTTGGGGCACGCCAGGCTGGCAGCCGGGGGCCTCCGAAATGCTCCCTCCCCCAAGCAGCTGACAGGAAGCTGAGGACGGCCCCGGAAAATAGTGAAAGCCCCTGGTGACAGTAAAAGTGTCCTGCTGGGTTGGAGACGCCGCCAGTGAGGGCCAGAGACACGAGACTGGTCTCCAAGCAGACCTCGTGCGCCCTGAGCCCGCCTGGCTGGGACAGAAGATGAGGGACCCTCAGTCCAAGCGGCTTGACGGGGGGTGGGAGCTGGCCCTGAGTGAGCGCAGGGCCTGGCGGGAGGCTCGTCCTGGGACGTGCAGGGCCAGGGCTGCGGTGCACCAAAGGCTGAGCAGCGGGGAGTCTCTTTCCTCAGTTTCCCTCTACTCTTCCTGGGTTCTCTTGTGCTTAGAGAAGACAGTGGCCGTGGCCGAGAAAATCCAATGCTGTGTGAGGATGTGCACCTGGATGGGAAAGCGTTAACCTCGCCCAAAGAGACAGTGGCCTTTGCCCTCGGCCCCTGGGAGGTGACCTCCAAGGCCCCGGAGGTCCTGCCTGAGGCGAGTGTCACGGCTTAGCTGGGCCTCGGGCCTGCCGCACGGTCCAGCTGACAGGCAGTCACCCTGTCTGTGTGACAGGGCCGAGGCTCGGGGGGCTTTCCGGGTGGGCAGCACTTTGTACGTCTCGTCACGTGTTGTTCTGGGAGGACTGGGGACTGTCCATGTGACTCCACTGGGTGGGGCAACCGGATGCTTGGGCCTGGCCCCTCTGCAGCTTTTAGCCGTGTCCTCTGCTGTCACCAATTGTGAGTGTATCCACTCTGGTGGGTTCTGTGAGTCCTTCTAGTGAATTCTGCCCCTGAGGAGGCCCGCAGCCCCGGGCTTTGAGTTGGATATTTGGAAGGTGAAACCGTCTCCTGCCTGTACTGCGGCAGGTAGAGCAGGGGGAGCTGAGCGAGCTGCCTCGCGGGCGGGATGTGGAAGCCGGGCAGCGACACCGAGCCCGGCCCCGGCCCGCTCCAGGCCGGTCAGAACCTCCCAGGCCTGGGAGCCCGAGGGGCCACCCAGTGTGAGAAGTGGAATCTTGGGGCCCTAGGCGGCAGACCCCCAAGGTGGGAAGGGGCCTTCAGTGTCACCCAGGTCGACGTCCCTGTGGGGCCAGTGCCAGCTAGGCACGGGGAGCGGAGCCTCACTCGTCTCGCAGTTCCGGCCCTCGAAGTCGGGGAGGCAGAAGCAGACGTAGGCCTGGAGCTGGTCCTCGCACGAACCCCCGTTCTGGCACGGATCGGAGGCGCACTGGTCCCCGTCTGCGGAGCGGGCGGCGTCAGCGGGCGGGGGGAGGGCGGCCGCGGCCCGAATCGGGCTCCCGACTCACCGTTGTAGGAAATCCAGAACTGCTGCTGCGGGGCGAGGGAGGGAGCCGCGTGACACCCCTGCTGCCCGGCGGCACGGCGACCCTGCCCGCGGACTCGGGATGGGCTCGGGATCCCCATTTTCCTCTGGACACGAGGGGGGCTCATCTCGAGGGGGCATTTTCCTAATCTCTCCCCTCTCCAGGGCATCTGGGGCCACCAGAGGCCACGTATTTCCCTGTCCCAAGTCAGAACATCCGAGTGTCAGCCCCGACCCTGCCACCTCCGAGCTGGGACCTGGGGCAAGACACAGATGCTCTGAGCGTCCATCCTGTCCTCTGGCGGGGCACCCACGCACCCACGGGCTGTCCCAGGACAGGGGCAGCAGGAGGTGCAGGGCATCCCGCCACGGCAAAGGGCCCGTGGATAAAACTGGTTCCGGGGGCAGCTCTGGCCAAGCGAGTGTAAACGCACGCGCTGCTGTGACGCTGCCGGCGAGAGACGCTGACGACGCGCTGACAGCTGGTGACATGAAACCCTACACTGCGACCACCTCGGTTTGCCTGGAAAAGGCCATGCTAGTGCCAGTCCCAAACAGCCGGACTTCCTGCAGGCTGTGCGGTGGCCTGTGAGTGTGACGTGTCTTGTGTGAGCGTGAGGTGTCCTGTGAGTGTGAGGTGTCCTGTGTGAGTGTGACGTGTCCTGTGTGAGTGTGAGGTGTCCTGTGAGAGTGTGAGTTGTCCCGTGTGTGAGGTGTCCTGTGAGTGTGAGGTGTCCCGTGTGAGTGTGAGGTGTCCCGTGTGTGAGGTGTCCTGTGAGTGTGAGGTGTCCCGTGTGAGTGTGAGGTGTCCTGTGAGTGTGAGGTGTCCTGTGAGTGTGAGGTGTCCTGTGTGAGAGTGAGGTGTCCTGTGAGAGTGTGAGGTGTCCTTGAGTGTGAGGTGTCCTGTGTGAGTGTGAGGTGTCCTTGAGTGTGAGGTGTCCTGTGTGAGTGTGAGGTGTCCTTGAGTGTGAGGTGTCCTGTGTGAGTGTGAGGTGTCCTGTGAGTGTGAGGTGTCCTGTGTGAGTGTGAGGTGTCCTGTGAGAGTGTGGTGTGCGATGTCCTGTGGGTGTGAAAGGTGACATGAGTCAGGGCAGGTGGTAGGAAGCTCAGGACCAGCGTGGACAAGGAGCCCGGGGCCGAGGCGACGGCTGCCGCTTGCTCCAGCAGCTCTGACCTGGCTCGGGTGGTTCCAGGGATGGCCCGTAACAAGCCACTGGAACCTCCTGACCCCAAAGCCGTTGTCCCCGTCCTACCCTGCCCCACCCCTCTGGTGAAAATGTTCAAAGGGAAATATTTAAGGGAAGGGACACGTCAACGATGCCCAAACATAGAAATTTCCGAACTTGAAGCCAGACGCAAAGACAAGCCTGTGCAAGGCCCACGAGGCGGGGCGGCCTCCCCCGCGTCTGCGCTGCCCGCGCTGCAGCGCTGCTCGGCTTCCCCGCTCCCTCAGACGCTGGGGGCCTTCCTGGGGAAGTCGAGGGACACATGGAGTGTGCTTTCAGATGACATTTTCTGATGTAAAAGCTGGCATGCGAGCTGGAGGATGTCCCCGGAACAGGGCGAGGGAGGGGGCGTCGCCCAGGAGAGCCAAGTCATCCTAAGAGGGGCGGGGGCGACCCGCCCGTGCTCGAAGCAGTGGAGAGGCGCAGACCCCTGGCGTGACCCAAACGCCACCCCGTCCCTCCCCACAGTCTCTGCACACTTGGGCACCTGGGCGGCGCCGGGCCCTCCAGGTGGACTCACCGTCCGCTCCGTGTTCCTGAAGATCTCCCGGGCCTCCTCGAAGGAGCACTGCTCCTCCTTGCACTCCCGCTCCAGGGAGCCCGGCCGCAGCTCCTCCAGGAACGAGTTGGCCCGCCTCTGCCGGCGCAGCACGCTGTGGGCCGCCTCCTGGGTGACGAAGACTGGGCGGCAAACCCACGGGATACGCATGACCCTCTGTGCCAGGGCGCGGGGAGACCACCCATGCTGGGCCCCCCCTGCTCAGTGGTGGTCTCAGAGGGTTCCTGCTGCCCCGGGCCGGGGAGGGGCGCGGGCGGAGGCCCACGGAGAAGCGTGGCCGCCTGCGGGCCGGGCTCAATTTGGTGCTTTCTGCGGGCGGCTGGTGGCGGGCGGCGTGGCACAGCGCTCTGCGCGGGTCCGTGACAGCGCACTCTCCAGACTAGTGTAACACACGGATCCTTCTCGACCTGCTCACCTCTCCTCTAGGAATTTATTCTAAGGGATTATCGGAGGCACACGCAGACCCTCAGCCATGAGGAGCCACTGACAATACAATGCCAGTCAGAGGCCACCATGGGAGGCTCCCGCACTGCCACTGACTGCGGTGTGCTTAAAAAAAGATGGGCCGGCAAGTGAAAACGAAGGTGACGCCGCCGTGTGAGCTGCACTGTCCCTTCTGGGCACACGACAGGTGCTCACGAACAGTACCTAAGTATGGATTCGGCACATCACAGCCCTTGTGTGAAACCTAAATTCCTCATCTGTGATGCTGCTGTGTCCCTGGCAGCCAGCCCTGCCTCTCCCTGAGTTCCTGGCGGACGGCACGGCCCCCGCCTTGCCCCCAGGCCACACAGCGCCCACAAGTCCTCATCCCCGCACGCCAGCTCTCCGCAGTCCCGGGTGCCCGCCTGTGTCACGCAGGCCCATTAGCTCAAGACCCCGCCGCTCTCCCAGGGACCCTGGTCCCCTGAGTGGACACCTCCCGAGTGGGGCACCTCCCGATTGGGCACCTCTCAAGCGTCCTCCCAGCTGCTCACGGTAGCCCGGCCACCGCTGCAGTGATAGGGCCCCGCGTTTTGCTCACGAGGAACACGAGGTTGGTGGGGCTTCAGATTCTCCTGAGGACACCCAGGGCAGCGCCACTCTGATTCTGTAGGACACCTGACAGCTGTGGGGACTGTGTCCTAGAGGGCGTGGAGGTGGAGACTAGGACGTTTAAGATGCTGAAAGCTATGCAGAGGCTGAAATTGAGTGGGAAGCCCACTGAGCCCTCCTGGGGCAAGAGGGGTGTGGAGAAGGCGGTGGGAGGGGCAGGACCAGCTGGCGGGAGGGGAAGTCACACGCGCAGCAAAGACGAGAGTGACAGGGCGCCAGGTGGGCGCTGGGGAGGCGGGAGGAGGGCGTCCAGGGAGGAAGAGCTGGGGCCTTGCTGGAGGACGCAGCCCACAAGGCTGGCACCGCGGGGCGCTCGGGCAGCAGGAGGGCGGTGGGCGCCAGGGCCTGGGTGGGCGCGGTCAGCTGCCGAGCGGGAGGGGAGGGAGCGAGGAGGGTGGTGCACTGGGCCGTCGGGGCTGAGAGAGCCACGTCTTTCTCTACGTCGGATTTGCACGTGTCGACGTTGCCAGGGAGTCAGTCACTTGTGGAAGGAGAGGAGGAGGACACGGACGGGGAAAACCAAGAAGCGCCTCCGCGAGGGCTCCCAGCACACGGAGCACTCGCCCGCGCTTTCTCCCCCGAGGCCTCAGCACCCCGTGCAGGGCAGGGAGGGTGGCCGCGGTCAGAGCCGTGACCAAGCCTGCAGCCCCCGTCCGTGTCCCGTCCCTGAGCCCGGGAGCCTGGAGCGAGCCACTAGCGGGTCCTCGCAGGCGCTTGCGGGCTGGGAAAGCACCATCGGCTCCTGAAAGTTTTTGGAACAATAATCCCACCCACGCCCGGGCCGTCAAGAACAGCCTTTGCTGTGCCGCATGGCGAGCGCCTGGCACAGGACTCCAGGAGGAAGGGGCCTCCACACCTCAAGCTGGGCCACCAGCAAACGCTCCCGGGCAGGGGTGCCCGGAACAGGCGCGGTCTGGGAGACCTGGGGCCCGGCTGGTGGGATTCGCTGTGACAGCCCGGCCGCCCTTCCATCCCGGTTTGCGGGAAGCTCCCCGGCGGCGTACCTGCGGCCAGACAGCCCTGAAGCCCGAGCAGAACGCAGAGCAGCCCAAGGGCCATGGCGAGGTCTCCGCAGCCTGTTGACACTCCCGGCTGGACTGGTGGGCAAAGGGCAAGGGGGCTGGGGGAGGGGAGGGGACAGCGTCCCAAACACAGGAGAGGGCTGTGCCCTTGTGCTGCCACCAAGCTCAAGGCAGGAGAGCAGAGCACGGTGGTCCTGGCCCCGCCTGCGGAGCTTGTCCCGCAGCTCTCCGGGGCCCTGCGGGAGACACTGGCACCAGAGCCCCTCCCCGCGCCCGCCGGCCTGTCCTCGTTCCACACGCTCCCCAGGCCCAGCCACGCGAGGGTGACCCGCCACCCTGGGCTTCCCAGGGTGTGGGGCTTTCTGCGCCAACACCAGAGCACTGGGCTCGCCGGGCACCAAGCCTCCCGGGCTGGACCCTCCCCGGTAAATATCCCGTATGGGAAGGGGACGCTGCTGGCAGTTCCTCTGGGGGCCAGGCCTTGCCGGGACCGGCCGACCCGGCCTGCCCGGCAGCTGCAGGGAGGGAGGGAGGGACTCCTTCCGTCTTCCGGAGCAGTCCACGAGGGAGCTTGGTGAAGGCCCCCCAGGGAGTGTTTTCCCTCCACCAAGTGCAGCTGAAGCCCCTGCCTGTCTTTGGACAATGCCCGTCTCAGGGAGACCTCTTCACTCTTGAGGTAATTTAAAATTTTAGTCTGTCTTCCAGCGTATCTAGTAAAAAACAAACATAAAAACCTTCGAGTGGCTTCCTGGTCCGGGATAACGTGTCCAGCTCCAGTGGGGTCCCCTCCGCTCTCAGCCAGCACAGCCCCAAGGTGAGGGGGCAACGTGGTAACACCTGGTGGAGGCCTGGCTGGTTTTGGGGTGTCCTTCCTCTGTGGGGCTCTGCGCCTGAGGTCCTCACCTCCTCCTGGGCAGCAGAAAACCTGGGGGACTTCAGGAAACACGTGCCAAGCCTCTGAGGGATTCAGGGTCCCACAGGCTGGGGGCTGTGCCGGCACCTGTGTGCAGCGCCTGTCCCCGCGCAGGGGCCGGCTCTCTGGCCGACCAACAGCTGTGGCCGGGGTCCCAGCACAGGATCTGCGAGGACACAGTGTGACAGCTCCCCTGGGCCCCACCTGCTTGGGCTTGTCCACGGCTGTCCCGTGGGCCCCCAGCACTGAGCCTGGAGCTGGACCTGGCCACACAGAGGGGCAGGCGTGGGGTCCGCCACCCACCCTCCCGAGCCCCCACCACCTTCCTTAGGGAGGCCAGCGGGCTCCCCTCACCCGAGCCCCCTTGGATGGGCCCAGGCACCTTCCGCCCTGACCCCAGGGAAGGGGATAGTCACAGCCTCTGCCTCCTCCCGTGGTGGCCTCTGCTGGTCCGTCTGCCTGTCTGTCTGCCATGCTGAGCCACCCACGGGCTGCCCTCCGGTGCGGAGGACGCAGCAACCTTTGCTGGTCGCTTTGGGGGGGTGTTCGTTTGGGGGATGAAAAGTTGTGATGTTGAGTGTGACTCAGTATCTCCTCTGGGCCTTTGTACCTTCCTCACAGGGCTCTGGGTGGCCAGGACTTCGTCCTGAGATGTGCTCGGATTTATCCGACTTTTTGTCTGTTGTTGAGAGCGTACCTTTCTTGTCTTTCGTAAGAAATCAATCCTTGTCCTAAGGCAATAAGGATATTGTTTTCTTCTAATAACCCTAATTTTTTAAGTTTAGGGAGGGATCTAATTGTACTTTATTATTCACTAGAAAGCTAGTGGGCGCAGCGGTGTGGACATTTGCTGAAGAGGCCATTCCGTGCCCCTGCTGACCCCCCACCCCATCCCAGGACAGCGGGTTGCCATGACCGCAGGCCTTCTGTTCCGTCAGCTCTGGCCCCACCACGAGGCAGGAACTCTGGGGCTTTGTGATCAACCTCGACACCGGGGGCCTTTCCCCCTCCCCTGCCCCAGCCCCAGACCAGCCCTGGCTACACACAGGAAGTTTTTCTTCCACATTTATTACAGTCAGTTTCCTAATTCCACAAAGATCTCTGCTGGGATTTTGACAGAATTACATTAAATCTACAGATTAACATTGGGGAGAATTGACATTTTGGTGATACTGAATTGTCCCATCCATAGAAATCTCCCCGTTTATTTAGGCCTTTTTTAATGACCTATGACCTTGCATTAATTTCGCCCAGAAATTTTGTTACATTTTAGTATTTTACCATTTGTTTGATGTTAAAACAGTGTTTTTCAATTTGTTATTGCTAGGAGTATGAATGGCTTTTTGTGGGTTGCTCTTGTGGACTCGTATTAGTTCCGGTAATTTATGAATTCTCCTGGATTTTCTAGATACAAAGTTATTTTTCAATTAATACAGCTGAGTTGCTTTTCCTTTGTTGTACTCACTGGTACTTCCAATAACTTTGGGCAGTAGTGGACATCTCTGCTTCATCTTGCCTGCAGTGGGGACGGTTCTAAAGTGTTTCAATAACTAAAATTTTTGTTGTGAAGATTTTGTGAGATACAGTTTATTTGGCTAAAGAAATTTCCGTCTACTCCTAGTTGCTAAACAGGACACATGAACGCTGAGTGAAGTTGGATTGTTTTTCCTGCACATGTCGGGCTGGTGACCCACTTTGGTTCCTTAACACGGCAAACTACAGCAACAGGTTCTGACGCTGGACTGTCTTTGCCTTCCTGGGACAGAGCTACTGGATTAGAAGGAATTACTTTTATTTACATCATACAGTTGGGTTTTAGTTGATTATATGCATTCATTTGGAACTTTTGCATTCATCTGCATAATTTTATTTTTTCTCACATAACCTTTGTCAGGTTTGGGCACCAAGTTTAAACTTGCTTCATACATCTGTTGAGCTGGTTTCTCTCTTTCGATACTCTTTGAATATCAAATTGCTGCATAAATATTTTCATATGCTTATAAAAACCACCTGGGTTTAGTATCTGTATGGGGGCGAATTCTTTTTTTTTTTTTTTTAACTGCAATTCGATTTTTTATTCATCAGCCCAAGTATTTTATCCTTTTCGACCAATTTGATTTTTCTAAAAAGACAATTTCTATTTTGTCTGTTTTCAAATGTATTGACAGAAAGTTATTCATAATGGTTCTGTCATCTGAAATTGTACGTGTCGTGAACTTTCTCAGGTTTTCTATAAATCAGACAACTTCACTAGATTTTTCGGAGAACCATTTTGATTTTGTGGATTTGTTTTTCCTTTGTTGTTTTCTTCTCTCAATTGTACTAACTCCTTTTTATACTTTCTTTGCGTTCTATTGGTCTTATGCTTTAGCTCCCATAAGTGGTCAACTCATTCACTCGTCTCGCAAATCCAGACGCGACTGCTGTGCCGTGACGTTACTGCCAGGTGCCTGCAGGTCCTGACCGTCCTTTCCCGCCGTCCACCGTCCTAACTCCATGTGCTACGTGACTGACCTTGCTACACCAGCTCGCTTCTGGTCCGTGTTTCTTGTATCTTTTTTCTTTCTTTTATCGTCAGCCTTTGTATAGTTCTGTGGGCTCTTTTAGCGGTTATGGTGACCCCGGATCTGATGCTCTCCCCATAGGTCTAGCCGTGGCCGCGGCTACCGAGTGGGCATCTGGACTCGCTTTGCCCATCACTGTTTCTGTGCCTCCCCTGCCACCTTCCCTCTTCTGATGGACCAACGATCTGCCTTTATTCTCCCCATTTTGGGTTAGAAGCTACCGGCTGTATCACTACCCCGTAATGGCTCCTCTACGTTTCTTTCGTTGCCTCCGTAGAACCTCGTGGCTACTTCACGTCATCACTGTCTGATGACATGAAGCGCGGGACCTGCCTCAGCATAGGGCCACCAGCCGCCTGCCTTTCTGTCTGAGCCCCTCCCCGAGCAAGCGCGCTGCGCTCACGGTCCTGGAGCAGCACCGCGGTGACATTCTGCGCCCTTCCCAGACAGAGGCGGACAGAGGAGTGGCTCACGTTTATTCGAACTTCATCCGTACAGTAAAGAACTCTATGAAACTTCATCACATCAGCAGTAAAACACAGTGACAGTGTACGAAATGCGGAGGTTAAAGTGCCGTCGCGGGGAAGAGATCACACAGAAGAGCGGGCCGCCCTGCGTCGGGACGAGGGACTGTGTCAGAACAACACGCTACATGAATTGCAATCGCGTCGTCTCCCAAATAACTTCCTCGCCAGAGGAGAAGCTACTGAGTCTCTGCATGGCTCCCATTCCATTCCCCACTCTGGCAGCCGGCCAGTGCCGGCTTTGCGTGCCGCGGGGCGGGGCGAGCGACGCCTCTGGAAACCCGGTGGGAACGCGGCCGGGTCGGCCTGCACGGCAGAAGGACACGGCGCAGCAGCATGGACACATGAACACGCCTTTGCATCCAGACATGTACACACGCTCAGACACGCACACACACACATCTGTCTGGCCAGACACAGGAAAGCGTTTTGAAAGAACAGTTTGTCTCTGAAACGTAACAAGGGGTCAGACAGAGGCGCCTTCTTTGCTTTGTGCCGTGATCCGAACGCGACGAATGTTCCCCACTCGCGTTTCTGTGCTGGGGTGAGCGTGGCACAGAACGGGGCGGGGGCCGCCTGTGTGCGGGGCGGGTGGTGTTTGGGCCAGAAATGAGGTACTGCCGGGCGAGGCTGAGCCGCGGTGGCCGCGTCACCAAGCCGCGGTCGGCAGCGCCGGTCCAGACGATGCCCTGCAGAAACGGCATCTTTGTATTTTCTTTACAAATAATAAAAAATATTCTAACTCAGTGGAGCTCTTTGAAAAAAATCAGATCCCCCCACTCTTCATAGAAAAGAATTTACTACCTTAAATTATAGTTTGAATTTTCTTTTGAAAATGAAATCTACACAGGTGAAGCGATCTCCTTGGTTTCTACCTGCTGCGGCCGTGGACGCACCTCCGGACGTTACCCAGGGCGTGATTTCACTCACCTGTGGCCGGGTGAGCTCAAGGGTGCCATCCCTCTCCGTGAGAGACCCCCAAACCATTCAGCGGCATGAACCACGTGCTTCGATGTAAACCCCAATAACAAAAAATAGTTTTATATCAAATACAGTATCAAATTGTCATTTCATGTAAACACAGTGATTCTTGGTAAAGATCTGAGACCAAAGTACCATGAAAAATGGTCGTGGGATTAATCCCTGTTTTAAAAAAATCCTAAAACTTGTGAAAGACAGAAGAGTCCCCTCTGCCCTCGGGCGCCGGTCAGCGGTTCGTTCACTTCTCTTGGGAGCAGCCCCAGGTCTGCACGTTCCGCGGGACGCTCGGCCCAGAGACGACCAGCCGCTGCCAGGGCGGCTCCTCCCGCCAGCAAGGCGGCGCGCACGGGGTGGGGCCTGCTCACCCGCAGCCCCTGTCCACGCCTGGTTTCCCGAGGAAGCTTCCGTGGACGAGGGTCTTCCCGTGGACCTGGCCTCTGGCCTGGAGAGGGTCCGACCGCGCCCGCACGCGGCCAGGTGGCTCTCGTGCTGGGCTACTGGGGTCCCCCCTTGTAGGGTATCTTAGAGCACCGTCCCCTCGCCAAGCGACGCAAGCCCAAGCCAAGGAGAACTGAGATCCACACTCTGGCCTCCTGCGTGGCGCCCGCGACGTCTGCGCCCGGCCTAGCCCTGGAGGTCGGCGAAGGAGGCCTGGCCGCTCTCACTGCAGCTGGACGAGTGGCTCAGCACGGCCGACCCCGGGCTCGACTCTGCGGGGAAACCAGGCGAGACGCCGCGCTTGGCTCTTTCCTCGCGCACTGGACCCTCTCCTCACACGGGCTGGGGCGCAGCGGGCGCGGCGCCGGCTCACCTGAGCTGCTCAGGCGCTGCGCAGAGCCGGACTTGCCCAGGTGGGGGGACAGGCTGCTGGCCGGCACCCAGCCCTCCTTGCCCGTGCCGGGGTCCCGCACGAACCTGCAAGGGGTGGGGTCAGCCCGGCCGCCACGCGCAGCGCGGCCAAGGTGTGGGAGCAGGCGGCGTCTTACCACAGGCCCTCGTGGCCCTCCCGGACCAGCTCCACCACGTCCCCGCTCCTCACGGCCAGGGCGCCGGGGCCGCCCTCCACGGGGCCCACCACGACCGTGCGTCTGCCCGGGACCTGGGGTGGGCAAAGGCACGCAGGCGCCGGGACATCAGCACGCGCCTCTCAACACCCGCAGGCAGGCGGCCCGCCCGCCGTCCCCACGGCACAGGCCAGGACGTCCGGGGACTTCAGACCGCCCAGCACCGAGGGGACACTACGTGCCTCGGGAGCCCCGGCGAGACTCTGCCTAACCCTGGAAAGGTCTCCAGTCTCCGAGGGTGCTCGCCGCACAGCACAGCCGACCCCTCCAGCGCGCCCTGCGCCCGGCCCTTCGCGCCCGCAGTCCCTCCCCCGGCGGTCTTCCCTTCCTTCTGCCTACATGCTTGCCCTCCTCCCAGCCCGTGTTCAGGCAGCTGTCCCTGCCCACCAGGCCACCTGTCTCGCTAAGCCCCCAGGCTCCTCCGAGGGTGGAGGCTCCCGTGGGTTCTGTTCCCGCTTCATCTGCAGTGCCCAGAACTGGGCCGGGCACAGACCCCGGTGCGGGAGGTTCTGTCGTGGGCTGCGCAGCCTGAGACATGGAAGCTGCCCTGGGGGTATGGGGGGACGGCCCGCACTGGCTCCTGCCCCACCCCCAGGGGAGCAAGACCAGGCCCCTGGCCAGGCCCATCCCGGCCTCCAGCCGGCGCCTGCCCTGGTCTGTGCCGCCTGAGCCCTCCCTGCACCCGCTGGTCCTCATTCTGGACGTTTCCGCCCGCCGCTACAGCGCTGGTGCCGGACCAGGCCCAGCACGGAGTGGGCCAGCACCATCTGGGTACAGTCCTGGCTCTAACGGTTGAAGATGCAAATAGCTTCTCTCTGCCTCTCATAAAAACAGGACGTGGTCTAGAACGCAAACCCACGCTTAGGACAGTCCGATGTTCTTACAGACGAGAACAGCTGGGTGCAGTTTTAGGGAAGCTCAGTGCGGACTTGCCGCGGCTGGGACGGTGGGGTGTGGCTGTCTGGAAGGGAGGGTGCCCCCGCGTGTGCTGCGCGGAGAGGCGGGCGGGGGCTCGGAGCCGCAGGGAGCCTCGGGGACTGGGACTCAATCCAGGGAACAAGCGTCTCTGAAGTGCAGGTGTCAGAAGGACCTGAGGCCCCAGGACGCGGCCGAGGTGCCCCTTCCAGACCCCACCCCCAGCGGGACCGAGGCTGAGTTACCAGCTTCTTCGGGGGGGCCCCGCCATCTTCCTCTGCGTCGGACGAGTTGACGGGCTCCTCCGCGCTCGACCAGTCCGCGTCATCCCCGGGGCCCTCCGGAGAGTGGGAAGTCTTGCTCCAACCTGAGGGGACAGGCGCCGTGAGGGCCGGCCGTGGGGTCTGCGCGAGAGCCACAGCCCGCAGGCGCCGCCCTGGCCCTGGCACAGCGGGGTGTCCCCCCCGGTTTGTAGAGGGCGCTGCGGCCGCAGGCGTCAGAACGCCCGGCTCACAGGAGGGTGGTGGGTGCACCTGCACCGTCTGCGGCCGCCTGGCGGGAAAGCGAGCACCAGGCCTGCCCCGGGCGCGTGCCCTGTCGGCAGAGGAGGGAGGCCCGCCTTGCCGGGTCAGCGCCCCACGTGGTGACCCCCTCCAGGGAAAGGTGCTTTTCGTTAACCTGTAACATTCAGCATCTATGGCACCCGCGGAAACAGTTTCCAATAAAAACGCTTGAAGTCCACTGAGAGGATCGGAAGCCCTTGACCGATAAGAGCGGAGGGCCGAAGTCCTCACCGCGCGTTGGGCAAACCGAGGCACCGAGAGCCTGAGTCGGGGGTCTGGGGCCACCCCCCCCACTGCAGCTGGTCGCCAAGTGAGGGGCAAAGCTGCTCCCGGGATTCCAGGCCACGCACGTCCCTCCGCGAGCTGCTCCTGCCAGGGGCCCCGAGGGGCAGCACTGACCCCCACGTGGGGGTGGCGCAGGGCGGACCCCACAAACACCAGCAGCTCCCTGCGGGGCCAGGTCACAGGTCACACTGAAGGACGCTCGGCAGAGAGCAGCATGTGGGGACACAGGCGGCTGCCAGTGGGATTCGGGCCGGGGCTTGGCCAGCTCCGAGTTCTACCTGGTGCCAGGAAGCGGCACTTTCCTGCCAGAGCAGGCGCTGGGCGTGCGAGGACTGTAGACAGGCCGTACGCGCAAGCGCCTGTGTGCCCGCCTGCCTGCGGCCTCGGCGCCCATTGCCTGGCAGTGAGGCCCGTGCGGGGAGGAGCCGCCGTCCGCGCAGCACAGGGGCCCGGCCGGCCCCAGGCCAGGGGAGAGGGCTGGTGGCACACGCGTTTCCGGCTGCCGCAGCCCCACCGTCCCTGCCTGGGCACAGGTGCAGCTGCCCAGGGTGGGCGGCTCGGACACGGGGATGGGCGCTGACGCCTGGCTGGAAGCGTCCTCCCCGTCCCCGGCTGCCACGAAGCGCTGCGACCGGCCTCTGGCCAAGCAGCACCGCACCGAGGGTAGTGAGGACAGAAGACAAGATGGCTGCGTGGGCCGCAGCCGGTGGCGACAGACTGCAGGGGCAGCCCCTGCTTCAAGAGCGGGGGCTGTGGCTGTCAGGGACCTCAAGCCACTCCCTGCCGGGGGCCCTGCCTTACACAGTGGGAGGGGAAGGGCAGCTGCGCTCGGGTGACCACGCTGAGGCGCCAGCCATGGGAGGGAGGCAGAAGCGCGTGAAGCCCAGCGACCGCAGGCCCGGACGGTCACCCTCGACTGGGTGCTGGGGGACTTCGCGCAAGGCTCTCAGGCCCGGTGGCCGATCGCGAGGCCACCCCATAAAACAGTCCTCGACGTTCGCTGGCCAAGAGGCCTTCGGAAGGCCGGGGCTGAGGCTCGTGGGCACCTGCCACCAACGGAAACGTCAACAGGCAGATGGCTTTGACCCCGCGCAGTCTTCCTCTGGGCCACGCGAGGCTGCGCTCCCAGGAGGCCGCCAACAAGAAACAGCTCCTCTCCCAAGTGCCCGCAGGCCGCGCCCAGGAGCCCTGGGTGTGGCGGGCATGCTGGCACTGCTCACATCCCTGGGGGCCTCTCCAAAGTTTGGAAAATGCAGCAAGATTCAGAACACGAAACCCTCTCCTGACACCGGAGACCCTCCGGACGGCGGTCTCCCGGGACAGTGTTTGTCCTCGACGCCAGGGAGGCAGGAACAAGGCCACCGCCCGCCGTGCACCTGCCACCTGCCCAGGAAAGGACGCCTCACGGCCGGGCAGCTGCTGCGTCCTGTGTGTCCACCAACAAGCATCAGCGCAGACTGCGGACATGGGAGGGGGCCGTGACGGGGCCGCAATGGAGCCTGTTGGGCGTGGCAGCCGACTCCGCCCTTGAGCAGTGAGGCCACCCCACCCAACCCCAGCTGCCAGGTGACGGTGACAGCCCAGCCGGCGCGAGGGCAGCAACAGCGGCCGGGACGCGTCTGCCTAGTGGTGAGCCACCCTCGCAGGCCCCGTCCCCGGGCACTGGCTGCTGAGCGGCGGCGCCACCCGCTCCCGGCCCGGAAGACCCCCTCAGGTATCGTCCCCGGCGGCGCCGCGGCGGCTGAGTGGACAGCACCCTGGCCAGACGGCAGGGGCGGCGGGACGGGGCGGCTCTACCTCGTACACCAAAGGGCGTCGGGTCACTCTTTACTTGGAGCCGCTTGGCTTTCTTGTCGGGGCTGGTGGGAGAGGCTGCGGG